TTATAAGTTAGTTATAAGGTTAGAAAATACACTTTGGTTTTAATACAATGGCCTTCAGGGGTACATAGACATGCTGGGAGAAGGTCACCCAAACACCATCATTACTCTTGGAAACCTTGTCAATTCTCTTCAGAATCAGGGGCGATCTAGGGAGGCTAAGAAGAGGTACCTGGGAAGAATAGAGCTTGGTTTAGCAGCTCTTGACTTTGGGTATCCATGTTGGGAGTGGCTTAGTGTCCGTTTAGAAGCCCTGAGGGATACTAGGGGATGATAGTTAGAGCTTCATTGAGAGGCATGATATTTTGTAAAGCAAGTCATATAATCTTTTACTTCCTTAGTAACACTGACTTTATTAATAGTAAGACATCAATGTTCAACAGGTTGAAAGCTTCCACTTGGGCTCCCACGGCCTCTTGATCCCAGGGTATAAGTCAAATGAGGTCAAATTTACTCTATCATGTTTTCTGTAGGATTTTGTCCTTTTTAAGTAGCAATTCCTCGACAGCGGGCCAAACCCGAATATACTACTTCGGCCCTAGTTAGCCTGCTAAGGTACCCTACGCAAGCGGTATTGATGAATTTATTCTCCTTTCAGCTCCACGTTGTTACGTTGTCCCTAGAAGTAATAAGTCCTGTGTTTTACGACCTCTGGCACACACAAGATCATCGTAGAATGAAACGCACAATGCACATAGGGATTTTAAAATACGATCTTGGCCGATAGTATGAAACAGCTTTTCACTTATTATATCATACACACGGCTAATCACATCATAAAGTCCCAGCAATTATTTCCTCAGGTTTTGTTTTACCTCAGAGCTTGCTGTTAACGAATGCCAAAGCCTCCTTTCCATAAATGCTAACGTATTGCTGATGGTGGTTGGAGTCGTTTCCGTCACAGCAAAAAGGATCCTGAGAGTCACAGTAGATCTGGACCTTGTCTGCGTTGGGGCAAGTGAAGCCTGCAGGTCGAGCATCAAACTGTATGTGGTTAGCAGTGTCATATAAAGACCAGTGATATTACTTACGCCACCGGCAGTGCAGGTGCCAACTCCATAGGATAGACCGCTCACGAATCGTGGGTCACCCAGCATGATGACAGCCTTGACCTGCTCAACTGCTCCGGCGGACAGAGGGACAGATGAATCAGAGATGCCAGCTCCCGAGTCAGGGCCACCGCAGATGTTGTTGTCCATGATTTGGCCACCCTATCATTTCCGTTAGTTACTAGGAGTATTAGATCACTGATTGAAGGGTTCTTACCTGAGAGTAACCAACCAAGACAATCTTTGTCTGAGGGCAACGCTGGTTGAGGCCGTTAACAGCAGTGGTGACAGCTTGAGTACCCTGCTTTGCAGAGTCACCGTACTGAACACCGCCACATGAAGCCTGGCCACCGCAAGCAGGGTAGTCAATAGCCTCTGATGTAGCGCCAGGATGATCGGCTATGATCATGTCGACCAATTGACCAGCCGAACCGAAACCTGGAGAGACTGAGGTTTCACGGGCGCCGAAAATATGAATGTCAGGACATGACTGAGCCTTGACTGCCAAAATGTTGGCGAGGATAAGAAGAGTGGAGTCGAGAGAGGCACGCATTTTGATGCATGTATGTACTAATGAGTAGTAGTGCTAGAAGATTGTCCTCAAGGTAATTCCTCGACTATTTAAACACGGGAAATAAACAAGGATCTTACAACGCATGAATGTTCCAAGAGTTAATCGGCTGACATGCAAACGGTTCCCCGCTATTGTTTCAACCTGATTGACAGGTTTCATCGTACAAGGATAAGGCATTGGTGGGTAATTAAGATCGAATGGGTCTAAATCTGTCTGAAACATGTTTTGTAGCAGTTTGCATAACATTCTATAACAACCGAAGCTTGGACAGAACTAATGCCCGTTTTAACGTTACAGTTTCAGGAACCGATCGAGCCGACGGCCCGATGAACAGAATTGTTGCAAAAGCTCCGAGTGTTATCCTTGGCCCATACTTTGGCGTAGGATCTGGATGACCTCTTTTCTATCGTTCTTCTCAGCTCTAGATAAAGGTGTTTCGCCGTCTACATCCTCATCTTTTGGCCGAGCGTTGTATTTCAGCAGCAGACGAACAGCTTTCTCATCACCCAACTCGGCAGCGTGTGATAGCGGAGTTCTCCATATCGGTATGGTCTTCTCCGGAGCTCCTCTGTGCATAGTAAAGTCTCCAGACAGTATGGCCACAGGAGACGTCTACGAATAGATCTGTTAGCATCAGGCAACCCCATCAATAGGCCAAGTGATCCATACTCTAAGCAGCTCAAACCATCCTCCCATTGCTTCATCAAGAATATCGAGCTAATAGCACGATAGTCAGTTTCGATTGGCACATCACCTTACTTGTCAGTGTCATACTTACTCCTAGAATCAGTACCTTCAAAGCCTTGTAGAAAAGGTTATCGTTGAAGGGCAGCTTGCTACCTACCTTGTAGTTATGATCGACTCGCGCGCCTCTTTCCAGTAGAAACTCTATCGCGGCGATGTTGCCATGTTCTATAGCACGAGAAAGGGGCGTCTGACCACGCGAGTCTTCTAGTTCCATCCTGGCGCCACTTGCGAGAAGTAATTCCATGACAGCCGTGTGACCATACTGAGCCGCAAAATGGAGCGGTGTGCGACCGGAAGGGCCTCCCAGGTTGACATTAATGCCGGTTTCATTTCTGTTCGCTAGGATGCCTCTCAAAGCTCCAGTCCATCCATTTTTCGAAATTATTTGGAGCGGTGCTGTCGTAAAAAGGAATTCATGATCTGGATAGTCTCGGTTATCGGACGTATACCAGGGCCAAGGGAATAACTCTTGCACATCATCTGGAAGATGAGTTATGTGGAACTCCCACCGAGACATCGCATAGAAAAGAAACGGAAATTCGGATTTCGCCTTAACATCAGCTACCCGGGGAACCTTTACCATCTTCAGATAGCGCAGGCAGATCTTAGCCAATGAGTAGTGCGGTGTTCCTTCTAAATCGGCGCTCTTGCGGAGAGACGGCACTACCTTCTCCACGAAAAAGTCCTTTACAGATTGATGAATAAATTGAACAACTCCGCCACTGGTCTTACATTCGATAAGACCATGCCCAAGCATCTCAACATTCCATTTCATAGCGCCGCTGTTAAACCGAAGGTACTCTAGTTCTTCAAACTCTTGTAGTGAATGCAAGTCTTGGTTCTGAGCCAGCGCCATAGCCCAATGCAACTCAACAAGAGTTAAAGGGCGGGCAGCGAAGCAGATGCAATCGATAAGGTCAATGGACTTCTCGTCGATCTGTCCGATAATTTCACTGTAAAATTTCTCCAAGCTTTGAGGAACTTGACGGACTTCAGATTCGATCATGGCTGTTCCCAAGCGATCCCGATCGAGGCTTAACACTTTGCCGACCACAAGACTTGCCCATAGAAATACTCCCTCGGCATGCTGTGATATGAATTCAGAGATCCTGGACCCTGTCTGTTCTTGAAATAGACGTAGCTTAGACTCCACGAACAGGAATATATCTCTCGCATTTTCTCTGTCGATAGATATCTCAAGAGCACTTTCAATGTTTACAACAGGATAGTGACGGCAGGTGAAGCAGATGCGAAGGTATTTCAGATGTTTTGATGAGGGCCAGTGGAGTATGGAATTGAATTCCTCAGCTAATTGTTCCGCGTTCTTTTGGCCGCATTCGTCGAGGGCGTCGACGAGTAATATGATCGGGTGAGTTTCCAACGCCTTCCGAAGTGAAGTCCGGGCGTAGTATCGAAGCTCGGGGGTGTTCCACATCCATCTCTCGTCGTACGTATCTGATTGGGTATGAATTTGCCTGAATCTCATTTCCATGGCCTCTAGTGCCTGTGGTATCTTGCTTTCCATCTGGCAGAGAAGCGAGCGATACAGGCCACCTGGTGTCTTTTGGAGTTCGGTGCCGCGGCCGCTAAAAAAGAAGGAAAGGACTATAGGTCTTCCTTTACTGTTCGTTGATGTCACGATATTATCGAGGATATATCGTAGCAATGTTGACTTTCCGGAACCAGGCTTCCCCTTGAGCCACAGTAGAGACCGATCACGGGATTCCCATGTCCGGTATATCTTGTGTTGGAATATCCAACGGCATGTACCAGCAGCTTCAGGTTCAATCTCTGTCGGCCGAATATCCATTTCCTCAAAGACAAGCGACCTTAGTAAAAGCTGTGAAAGACTCAGCTCTTTTTGCGGTTGGGAATGGACTACGCGGCAATGAGTCAGTACTGTGAGACGGAGTATATTGATAGTAGCTACGCCGGGCCATTGTATGTGACCGAGCCAAAGTAAGGGTTGCCCGTACCATGATATTCATTATGATTGCCAGCATACTGGCTCTTGCTCCCAGCGACGTTGTCCCCGGATCCATAATGCGTCTGGCTCACAGCTTCCTCCTCTGCCAAGGAAGGCTCCATGCTTGATATCTCCTCAATAGCTTCGGTAAGCTTCGCAACCTGTTCCTCGGTGGCTGCTTGGGCCGTATGGTTTTGTACCAAGAGTTTCACATCCTCCATCATCCCTTTGGACAGGACCTCTACACGGTGGCCCTTGCCCAGAGACCGCACCATCAAGGCATAGCGCCTGAAGCTGGATGTATCTTCGGACGGATCAACAGCCTTAAATAGTTTCTCCAACTTCTTAGCCTTTTCTCTGCAATGTTTCAGAACCGCCTGTATGGCCTCGTCTGTCCTTTGATCTGCTGAGGTGCTGAGGTGCTTTTCGACAGACTGAAGGATTTCGCGAACAATGGGCAACTTGTCGGCCACTTCACGAAATGCAGGCGGTAGGTCTTTGGCGTTTTTGATTGCATCGGAAAGCTGGCCGATAGTCTCAAGGATGGTGAGAATCGCGGAGACGAGACCGATTACCTCGATGCCAGACATTGAGAGGGACAGTAATTTTCAGGCTGGCGCTAGATTTGGTATGGATATGAAGGAGTGGAATTGGAGTTGCGGTTACGTTGGTCTTTGAATTGAAAGAGGAGATATTTCTTGTTGTAGATGCTTGCTGTGGATTTCGGTAATACGGTCATGTGGAAACGGAGCCAGATCATGCACTCTTATACTTACTCCTCGGTGTACCACACCTCTTTAAACCTTGGGTGAAATTGCATGGATCTTTGCAGTCAACTGTCTTTCAGCTCCCGGAACTGTGCATCTTGATAGGGTGGATGAATGTGGCTTGCAGCTTCTATTTCTGTCCCGCCAGTCAAAATGCATGTTCATTGTAATTTCAACCTACAGGCGCTTAACTGCTGTCAGCATACTTGGCAAGGCACATCGGCTGGTCACCTATTGACCCCTTTGGTACCTTGGCAAAAGCGTCGTTCTAGTGTCCGGATGGGGTAGAGAGATACTGCTGTTTGTGTCTTTTTGCGTCCCCCATAGGCGTTCACCTCAGTGCCCCCATGAAGCAGGCACACCACGCTCTCGACCCTCCCTGACCTTGCTGCTATGTTGGGAGAGGCATTTTCGCAAAAGGGTCCGAAATACAATACAGGAGCCTTTTCATTACATGACTATTAATATTAAGAGTGAGTGCGTGATTGAGAACTTGGAGTGAATAGGTAATAATGGAGAAAATTGTCCAAGTAAAATGACACTTACAGCGGAACCAAGTTTCTAATTCGGCCGTGTTGTATGTGCAGCAGATCAGAGCTTCTTATAACCCGTGATGGCGGGCAAATGACTTATCTTTTAGGTTTTTATAATATCAGCCTTTAGCTGTAGCAATTGGTCAGTTATTATAGTATAATGTCTAAGTTGTTAGCTACAGTTAAGGCTTGAGGCTTGTGGCTAAGAGCTTAAACCAGCAGACAGAACTTAGCAAATTAAGATACCCTACCATGAAGTTACGATAAGCGGGGTTGACGATATCGGAGGTCGACCCGATAAGGTCGGAGCCGTGCCCCGTTCTGTTTCCGAAGCAAGACGGCATCCGGGGTCCAAATGCCGGTGCTGAAGACATTGAGCAACGGGGTCAACACCTATAGATGTGAGAAAATAGACACTAACCATTGATATTGACTCCTTCAGGAATCCTCTTTCTATGATCTTATCTGATCTGCAAAGTTTATCTGGCAGATTTTGACAGACACGGCTGATGACTCATCCATATCAGACTCGGAGCCCCACATCTCCAGCTCCGATCTAAATTTTTCCGTTGACCTCATCGCACAAACCCACTCATTCACTCACTCCAACGAGCATATCTCACATCCCTACACCCAAAATGAGTGGAAAACCTGCGCTTGGTCTTCTCGGCGGCGGCCAACTCGGCCGTATGCTCTGCGAAGCCGCATCTCCTCTCGAAGTCGAAATCGCCATCCTCGACGCCCAAGACGCACCCGCCAAGCAAGTTAGCCGTAGCAAATACCACGTCGACGGTTCTTTCAAAGACTCCCAGAAGATCAGAGAGCTCGCCAGTAGCTGCAGCGTTCTCAGCGTCGAGACGGAGCATATCGAGACTGCTGTTCTAGAAGAGTTGGCCACCGAGGGAAAAGTCGTGGTTTATCCTTCGTGGAAGACGCTACGCTTGATTCAGGATAAGTTTGAGCAGAAGGATTATCTGGGAAAGCAGGGTATTCCTATCGCTGAGCAGGTCGCTATTCAGGCAGAGGGTGCGGAGGAGATGCGAAAGGCGCTGAAGGATGTTGCGGCCAAGTTTGGATTTCCTTATATGCTCAAGTCGCGAAAGGATTCGTACGATGGGCGCGGAAACATCAAGATTGCGAATGATGAGGATATCGAGACTGCTGTGAGCGAATTTGGAAAGCTCCAGTGCTACGCTGAAAAGTACGTACCTTTCCAGCGTGAGCTCTCGGTCATTGTTATTCGCACAGAGGACGCTGAGGGTCGAACAAAGCGTCTTGTGCCGTATCCTTGCGTCGAGACCGTTCATGAGGACAATGTCTGCTCACGGGTTTACATGCCTCCTCGCGATACACCCGATGAGGTGTCCAAGCGTGCGCAAGAGGTTGCTGTCAGTGTTGTTGAGAAGCTCTGGGGACGCGGTGTTTTTGCTGTGGAGATGTTTGTGACGGAGAAGAATGACATCCTTGTCAATGAGATTGCGCCACGACCTCACAACTCTGGTCATCTAACTATCGAAGCCGTTCCCTACATGTAAGTGGTCAACTCTGTCTTGCTAACTTCATGCTAATGAATCTACAGGTCTCAGTACAAGGCGCAACTCACATCCATTCTCGATGAGCCCCTCCCCGAAAAGCTTGAGCCCCACGTCGCATCCAGCATCATGATCAACATCCTCGGAGGCGCCGAACCAGAATCTCACATCCCTCTCGTGCAAAAGGCCAAGTCCATGTTCGCCAGCAACATCGGTGTGTACCCCCACCTCTACGGCAAGCAGTCCAAGCCCGGCCGCAAGATCGGTCACATCACCCTCACCGGATTGACCGCCAACATCAAAGAGCTCGAGGAGTATGCCCAGCCTCTTGTCAAGTTGGCTGCCGATATGCGACAAGAGCGCATTCAAGCCAAGAGCAAGAGCCTTCGTCCTGAACAGGCTGTTGCCAAGACTACAAAAGATCCTTTGGTTCTGGTTACCATGGGCTCCGATTCTGATCTCCCTGTTCTCAAGGCTGGTCTTGATATCCTCACTCAGTTTGGCGTTCCCTGGGAGGTTGACATTACGTCTGCTCACCGAACACCTGTCAAGATGGGTGATGTTGCGACTGCTGCTGCTGACCGGGGTATCAAGGTCATCATTGCCGCTGCAGGAGGAGCTGCCCATCTTCCTGGCATGGTCTCAGCATACACCCCTCTTCCTGTCATTGGCGTTCCTGTCAAGGCTACTCACCTGGACGGAATGGACTCTCTTCTGAGCATCGTCCAAATGCCTGTAAGTAATAACCCCACGCAACAATATGCACAGACTAACTCTATCCAGCGAGGCGTTCCTACAGCCACCGTGGGCATCAACAACTCCACCAACGCTGCTCTTCTCGCTATCCGAATCCTGGGCGCTTTCGTGCCAGAGTACCTCGAGAAGATGAGGGCTTACCAGGTTGACATTGGTGAGCAGGTGAATGGTAAGGCTACTCGATTGAGGGAGTCTGATGTTGAGTCGTACTTGGCTCAAATGAAGAAATGAAAAGCGATTATATGACAAATTCTATAGACAAGAAATAAAAACGCTACCCACATTTCTATAATACCACTATTTATGTGCGGCTGCGAGGGTGGATGAAGTATCCAACAGAGACATGCACAGTAAATTCTGGGACTCGCAGTATCCGAGCGCTCTATCTCTCATCCACGCATACCGACTATGTCGTTCTCTAGTTCGCCTCAATTAGAACAGCATCATCAACGTAAAACTCTAACGTCTCGCACTCCGCCCGAATCTGAACATTCGGCCCAAGGTTCAAAAAATACTCATCCCAGACACAGGTCATGGTGAACTGCGTCCACTCATTATACGGCCCAGCCCAGTCGCTGCTCGAAATGTACCCGGCTCCAGCTCCACACGCAATCAATCGTGTCTGGCAGTCAAAAGCCGTGGTAGTCTTGATCCAGATAGAATAATGATACTCAGTGTTGGGCTTGAGCAAGGTTTTCTCAATGGGATGCACGACGCCTAGGATGTCAGAACCGTCGGGAAGATCCCCAGTGAAGTAGCCAGAGAATAACCCTGAGTGGGTACCTGTATCGGAAAGGGACAGCAGGCCACGGTCTTCAAGTGTCTTCCAGGGGTCGGTGGTACCTGAATCGAAGCCAGGGTTTGTGAGGATATTGGTAGGTTCTGCAGCAGCGGTAGTCGTGGTTGTAGGTTCTGCGGAGGATGTAGCGAGTGTAGTTGGCTCAGCACTTGAAGTGGTGATGAGGATAGTAGAAGTAGCCGAATCAGAAGCAGCCTCAGTAGTAGAGCCGGAAGCCGTCTCCGTCTCCGTCTCGCCAGTGGCTGTCTCGGTTTCGGACACAGCAGTCGACGCAGTGAACAAAGTTGTAGATGTCTCGGTTTCATCGGCGACAGTTGAAGACGAAATGGCGGGAACAGACGTAGATTCAGCGGAAGTGGTAGACAAAGCGGCCGAGCTGGATGAAGAAGAAGGCTTGCATGGCGATGCATAGGCAAGATGGCATGCTGCCAGCAGCTGAAGAGTCAGAACTCGCATGGTGTTTTAGGTAACGACTGTAAGGGTAATAACCAAGACTGCGAATAAGAGAAGAAGAAGTGGATGGGAGTCGCGTGAACTAAATAAAAACAATTAAAGAATCAGCTTGGAAAAAAAACTCCTGAGATCACCCCGAACCAGTCTAGAGAATGAACTATTGCTTTTAGTTGACGGACTATTAAGATTAGTGCCAGTAATTGACAGGGGATGATTGAGCTTGTGGAAATTGACAAGCGGGCCCGCGTTCCCACTTCTTTCCCGAGCTTGTAAGCACGATGCTCTTAGTGAATTATGGCCTACCCTATAACAGAGCTTTATTTCTTTAGAACCTAGAAAGAGTGTACCCACATAAGGCAAAATCCCAATCAGCTCGACAAGTACTTGTGCATCTCTGATAAGTAGGTTTTTGGGTTTTATCTTAGCTTTATAGCTCTCATGGCCGCATGCTTAGTGCAGCTTAGTCCATGGTTCCAATGTTAGATCATCAGCTGGTGATAAAGAAGCAACAAAAGGATAATTCTCAAGTCCAGAGGCTAGCTCCTTTCTACTGTCTTTCAAAGCATTTCTTCAACCGCCCTCCAATGGCAACAGTACATCACACCAGTCGTATCTTATAAGAGCAGTGCGCATACTGGCACAAGTAGGACCGGGTGACCTTCGTGTCCTTTTGAAATTAACCGATTACCTTTCCCTGGTACCAGAATTCCCGTGAAGGATCCTCTTATTGACAAGTGGACGCGGTCTTCAACAGATGATCTCCAATTCTTTGCGTATTCACATATCGACTAATAGGCGGGCTTAATAAAAGACAAGAACGTCGCATCGCCCAGTTTGCATCACTACCAGGCGAAGGTTGCTCTAGCGCCGCAACTCTCCCTTTCCAGCTGAGAGCACAACATTGCATCCTTGTCGTACGTGCCAGTTTTCAACGGTCCGACCATCTCAGGCGTCGTAGGCAAAATCTCTTGGCCCAACTCGACTTCTTTCTTCCTATGCTCCATCACATGCTGTCTGACCGTGTTCTGGAAGTGGATGGGGCCCTAAACAAAGTATATTAGTAGCTGGTAATTGGGCCGAGGCTCATGGATAGGTGATACTGACTCGTTCTTTGTCTGGGTGTAATTCGCCATTGATAAACACTCCAGCTTCTAGATTGACCTGCGCGGACTCGCACAATTCTTTGTCTTCTTCCAGAACCTGTGCGTAGAACTCCATAGTGGTTTTGAAGATTTCGTCTCCGGCCGACTCGTGACGAAAGACCTCGTTCTCTATTCTTGTATGTGTTGCATCGACAGGAATCATCCGTTGGATGTAGAAGAAGTTCTTGCTAAGCAATAGTGTCAGGAGTTGTAGCAAAGCTCGTTCTAATGTGTATCAACTGACGTTACTGTAATTGAGGTCGATGGATAGAAGAATCTGATGGAGCGCTTGAAGTCATCTGTCCCGTCGTCTTCCTTCTTGTTGATGATTGTATGCTCCAAGCAGTTGCCCTTGGGTTCGACTTTGTATTTAGGCAAGTCCGAGACTCCGGCGATGAGAGGGTGGCTCGTTGGACAGTGGTAGCATTCTGAACGTGTTAGACTACTTATTCAAAGACCATGGTCATAACAACTTACCGTTGTAGTTCTCCATAACTCCCTTCCAGTTGGAGTTGAGGTCCATGTCCCACGTATGATTATATTTATATCCGCTAGTAAAGTCAAACATGGTCTTCTCATCAACTGCGCCAAACTGCGTTTCCCACGTCTCCTCCAAATCCGCCTGCAGATTAACCCAGATAAAGCCAGTCCTGTCGACATGGACGTGAATTGGCAAGAGTCCATGCTGGCTTTTATCAAAGTCTGGGACGGTGTCGAAACGAGGCGCTTTAGCCAAGTTTCCCTTCAACCCGTATGACCAGCCATGGTATTTACAGCTGATAATGCCAGTCCTACCAGAGCGATCCTTAATAACAGGATAAGCGCGGTGGCGACAAGCATTGTGAAAGCCGTTGATATTACCGTTGCGGTCCTGGATTAAGAAGAAGGGAAACTTGGCATAGGTAAATGAGAGGTAATCGCCGGGCTGCTGAAAACGAAGCTTATGAGTCAAAAGAATCCATTTTTTAGAAAAGATAGCTCGGCATTCCAGCTTGTAGATCTCGGGAGAGTAATACCAAGACGACGGAAGACCACGGATTGGTTCTGTCTTGGTGTTAGTACTACTGCCAGCGGAGCGTCCAAAGAAGTTCCACATGATGAGGAGCCAAACGACAATTCAAATAGGCTTCAGAGAGTGCAACAGGCAAATTTGGCTTAGACTGAGTCGGGTCGTAGATGAGATAAAGTAAACACAAAGATATCTTGACTTAATTTAAGACACCTGTGCACAAGCCTAAGTAGCTATCGCGGGAACTTTTATCTTGCCAATACACTTGATTAACACGAGCCTGCCAACTTGCCGTGACCAGCGAGGCAAAGAATATCGTCGCTGATAGGCTCTGTTCTATCCCGATTCGACTAAAATTGCCCGAAATGGCCATAAATCTTATCGGTCGGGTTAAAATTTCCCAAAACGGACCTAATTCAGAACAATCTGATTGGCTGCAACTCAGTCAACCGGAGTCGTGGGCACGTTCATCAGCCATCAATCCTCCTCACCTCTTGCCGACGATACCCAGCTACAACCCAGCATAGTGGTCCAGCTTATAGCGAGCGCTAGTTTTATGCAGCTTTGGCAAATGGTATCGATTAAATCGCGGAAAGTGACGGCTACCATCCCTGTTCCCCCATCCTACATCGACTACTGTAAGGCCGGTATCGATGCATCTCTGAACGCGGGGATGATAGGCGGCACTTGGTATCTATGATCCAAGAGTGGGGACCGAACAAATGCTTATACGATATCGTAGAAGACAGTATCGTTCCTGTGAGGTTATGTTGTAGCAAAAGTGGGTTGTCTCGCGATGGATGGAGTCGTTGACCGAAAACCGCTGTGAATCTGAGTTGATGCTAAGCACCAGTGCCAGTTGCATCTGAATCTCTTCATGATACTAGTATGAAAATACATGGGAAAAGCAGCTCATAGCTGTAAAACAAACATGATTTATTATGGATATTCTCGTTCTCAAACACTCTTGTATCATTCAGCATCCTAATATCATTGAAACAATACTTAGAATCCATCACCGGCCCAAATCCTATCCCAAGCATTCTTCACAACCTCAGTCTCTACCTTCTTGAAGAAATCATCCACAGCAACATCCTTCTGCCCCTCAATCCTCATAACACCATTCTTCACACCCCGCCAGCCCTCGACAGGAAGCTTCAGTTTATCCTGACCAAGCCCATAGAAGTACCTACCTTTAAACTTCTTCTCGTCACGCTGGATAGCGTCATATTCAGCCTGGCATTCCTCGCAGATCATGCCTGAAGCGAAAGTTATATATCGGTATGCTGACCGACCAGCCCACCATTTGAACTTCCGCGCTGGGTTGCAGAAGCCACCGCATGTGTAGTACCCGTCTTCTGGGTCGACCAGATCTCCCTCGTCTGTAGGCGGCTCATTGGCGTCCTCCTCGTCATCACTAGAGTCAACATCGACGTCAGACTGCTCAGCATCACTATCCTTTTCAACTGTCGTCTTTTCCTGGTATTTGACTTCTTCCGCGTCTTCGGATTTGTCAGTATTTCCTAATCTCGAAAACACAGCTGACGCAACAATACGGGCATGTCTATGAAGCTCCGCATCATCTCTCAGCGCCTTGCTCATCAGGGATAACGACTGTGCCAGCATCCACAGATAAGGTGCATCGTTCCAGCCAACCGAATCGTTAAGACCCGCGAAGCAGTCATGCAACAGAGACTGAATGGTTTGCTGGAACTTTTCGAGAGGGCCCATGACGAGATATATATACGCCAACCCAACGCGATGGAAACTGGTCCAGGATGCAGATGTTCTGGGAACATCGGACGCAAACGGGCGCTGCATAAGGCCAGCGAGCGCGGTTAGCCGTTCTGCTTTGTATACCGGATCGCGAGACTTACGGAACAGCTCGAGCTGAACGTTTGTCATGCAATCAACGGCCCGAAGCATCATCAGCAGTGCAGTTCCACCAAGGATCGGGAACCTGAGGCCTGTTGCGCGTGTGTCGAATACCTGGTCTAGTAGTTTGAGTGCCTTTTCGGGCTCTCGACATACCTCGAAATATATCACCGCGAGGTCAAGGCGGAGAGGAAGAGCGGCGTCGAGATTATCCAGAAAATCGATGGCCTCTTGGTAGAACTTGACGATAAAGTCTTGCTCGCCTGTTTCTGAAGCAATGTCACAAAAGAAAGCATGTCTTTCTTCACCGTCCTCTGCATAATCTGATGCGATCCATGTGATCCTCTCCACGAGACTCCACTCCTTCAGCATCTGTATATACTGAGCCTTATCCTTCTTCTGCACGACCTTAAGCTCGTCTACCAGATCTTGACCTGGAGTTATTCCATCAGGATCACTATGTTTAGCCTTGGAGAACGATTCAAGAGCAGCGTCGTATTGACGAAGTTTGCGTTGGGCTCTGGCAAGCGTCGTGTAGACCTTGCGCTTCAACGCAGGAGGAACATCGCCCGCGGATAAACTGTCGACTGCAGTCTGTGCCACTTCACGGGCTTCCTCTTTCTTCTTCTGTTCAGTGAGAAGGCCGGACATGACGCATGAAGCTCTGTAGAACTCTTCTTCACCGGGCTTACAGAGATCAAGAGCAGTGCGGCATGTTTTCTCAGCTGGACCTAGAAGCTCATACTCATCGAGCACTTCTGCAACCGCCCGATATGCTGAAGCGTCAGGCTTGATCTCATCGCTGAATAGATTCAAGATTCCGAGGCTTGCTGCAGTTTCATCGAACTCCGCACTATCTTTACTAAAGGCGTCTTCGCCCTCGAAGCGGTCGGGGAAATTGATGACTGCTTGATCCACCAGCAGCTTTGTTATTTCCGACTAGAGATGCGCAAGAAATTAGTCTTTCTGGTGCAGCGATGATTACTTGGAGAGACCCTTACCACCTGCAAAACACCGTGAAGGTGCTGCCACGAATCAAAAGCGTCTTTCGAGTTCTGCGCCATGTACAGCCGACGCAGATAACCCTTTGCGATATCCACGCGACACATTGCCGGATCAGGCCCAACACGTTGCCACCACTCAACAGCAAATTCACTCAGTCGTTCCTTTACCTCCAGCTTCTCAAGGAGCCCTGCCCACTCAGCAACCTTGACATTGGTCACAGCTCCACCACCACGTTTTCCATACAGAATACCACTCTTGGCCATCATCTCAGCCAACCCTGTCTTGTCAGCCATGGTCTCCGCGAAAGCTTCCAGCACTTCAGCCTGCTCTTCCGACGTGTGCTGGTCCATGTTGAGAGATGTGAAATGCGAGATGAACCATAGAGCTGCGTACTTGAGGAGTCCTTCGCATACAGCTTCACGAGGCTGTTTTAGTAGGTCTGCGCTAGTAACGAGCATCTTGCGATTCGCTTTTGAAGAACCCCATCTAAAGTCTGATGCGCCGTTAGTACTATTCGTGAAGTAATGCCTCATAGAGCGCTCCTTGAAAGTGACTGGCAGAGGCCCATCGTCATAGATACTGTCATGTTTATCGTCATCATCCTGCTTCAGGTCTTGAACTGCTGTGGCTTTACTGGCCTGAAGTCTTGCTAGGACTTCTGTGTCATAGCCAGGACCACCGATCCTCAGGAACTTATCGAATAACTCACGTATCTCTTCAATGTCGAATTCGCCGTCTTGTGCGAGATACTTGACCAAGGACTGGACCTCGGCCAGAGTCAAGAGCCTTTTGGCGAAGGCGACCCAATGGAGCAACGCCGCAGCAACCTCCTGGTGTTTGAAAGGCATGCGACGCTGACATTCTGCGAGTAGGATCTCATAGATTCCGTGAAGTGTCTTGGGTTTATCTTGACTCAGAGCACGGAGAACAGCTCCCTCGCGACCTAGATCGTCAAGGCGGCCTAGAAGGTGCTGGGCGTAGAGCATATCTGTTATAGTGTAAGCTACTTCTCAAGATGGGTGTGGAGAGATACTGACTAGGTGAAGCCTCCTCGATGTTGTCAGCGATTCTTTGCTGCACATAACGACTAAACCGTCTCAGATTATTGAGAGAGTTGATCTCGCTCCAGATCAAAGCCCTTAGATCCTGCGTCTGCTTCTTCTTGGTCGCTTCAATGCGAGTCACCTTGGTACCCTCTGGGAGATCATCCAACTTCTCAGGCCTCGAAGTAACAACCAGAGATATCTTCAATCCTTTCTCGTTAAAGTAGTCTGTGAGGAATAACTTGAAATTTGCCCAATCACGAAGCTCATCAAGTCCATCCAGCACAATGAAAAGGTTGAACTTGGAGTCGGGCGCAAAAACAGCATTGAGAAGGTGTTCAACAAGGTTCTGCCAGAGCTTTGTGTCCATGTCAATGTCGTCTCGAGCTATCTGGGCGTTCAGCTTCTCACAAGCAGCATAGTTTGTTTCCGCGATGCGATTGATGACCGTGATGACACCGCAGAGAAAGAAAGCAAATGCGTCTTCTTGTTCACGGAAGTAAAAGTGTGCCACGCAAGTATGGCCTGTCTCATCTTCGCTAGCTCTTTGGGCAAGCTTGTCGTGGAGCGCGGCCGCCATGTGGCTCTTACCCGTACCGGGCTCTGATGCCACTGCGAGGATGGGCCGTGATCCATCTGGGAGCTTTAACCATTCCTCCCATTCAGGCTCGGTAAAGATCCAGTTGCATGAGTCCGGGAGAAGAGTTTCCTTGAGGGCGTGATACTCGTGGTCGTCGTTAAAGACTATAGGCATGGCGTTACGGATACTGTTGGAAGAAGTTGGTTTATTCGCTTGCGGCTTCTCCATGGTCTTTTCCTTGGTCTGACCACCAAAGAGCTTGAGGATCTTGGCTATGTCACCGCGAATATTCTCTGTGTTTTCGTGAATAGTGTCGATGGTATGACCGACTCTCTCAAGTATCTCGGCGTGTGACTTCTGGTTCTCATCAAGCTGTGATGCCATGGCAAGAGTCTCTTCTGTGTTGCTGAGGATGGCAAATTCGGTGGCTTGCTGTAAATGATCCAAGTTCTTGTTCATATTCGCTCTCGCGCCACCAAGCTCTCCGTCGTCACCTTTGAACAGATTCGAGATCCATTTCTTGAAGCGACCTAGTTCAATGTATTTATGCGCAAAACCGCACATAGTGAGAAGCGAGGTGAAGACCTCCATCAAGCAATTCTGATAAGCCTTGTCTTGCGGTAATCTCTTCTCCAAGATAGTAATCCGACCAAGAAAGCTGTTCATGTCTTCAAAAAAGACAATCACGATATCGTAGTCGGCTGAAACAGACCGACAAGCCTGAAGCATGTAGGTCAAGGCTGTTCCAATAGCAGCGGCCGGTGGAAAAGCCGGTGCTGCGGCGGCGATGATTTGGTTGGCGCCTTGTTCGACGAGATCCAAATTGGAAGAGAACAAGGTCCTCAATCGATCGACCTTTCCCTTGTCGTGCCTGAACTTATGAAAGTTGTTCATCTGATCAGTTCCATAGTCAAGCATAGACTGAACATTGTCGAATTTGCGCTGGAGACCGAAACCGACGATGCTCTCATAACTCTTGAGAGCTTCCTTCCATAGATCGGCGACATCCCGGTCGTCATTCTTGAGCTGCTTCTCCAGCTCCACGCGTGCCTTTTTTGCTACCATAGTGGAAGAGGTGATGGCGATTGGCGCTACGATGAAGAGGGGTGCGATCGGAAGGAGAGAATGCAGTTGATAAAACCGTGTCTCAGCGAGCGTAATAAGTACGAGTGGTTGTCTGTCCGTCTTGCAAGGATTGATGCTCTTGTGCCTCATTTGCAACTAAGAACTGAACGACTATTGGTCCAACGCTGGACCAGCTGAATATACCGTCCCATGCAGTCAGCAATTAACAGTCCATAATAAGGCTTAGCTTATTCGTGAGACAAGCTTGAAAATTAACGCTTTTTGCGGTAACCTCGCCGAGCAGTTACATTCGCAGTCGTTATATCGCCAATTAAGGCGATATTTCTTGGTGATTAGGCCCTTGGCTGCATCGAAAGGTATTTTGTTCCAGCTTACAAGTCCACGTTGCGTCATCATCAGCTTACTCACAGCAGTGCAGCCAAGTACAGGCACGATGCCTGGTGCTTAATTTCTCGATCTGCGAGTTTTGGTCATCGGGTGCTAAGTTGCAACCAATAGCGAGGCTCACCTCGTATCAAAATCACAAGGTATAGAAGATAATTACTGTAGCCAGCATATCTGGATTATGTTAATGTCTTGGTAAAACGATCCAGATTGATAGATCTGGATAATTATGTAAAAGCTACTCTTATTATCTGGCGGGTTAAAGCGCCATTAAAATCCGCATTGTCGTTACTCGACTCCTGTCATCCAGGCTATCTTAGGCGGCAGTTTCGAGTAATTTTCAGCATGCACAAATTCCTTATCCAGCGATACGAGGAGACTTAATTGTTGTCTCTGTTCCATTTCGGAGATTGGAAATGAAGTTGGCGGTAAATGCCGGGGTTCACACGTGTCATAGATCTTTGTGGCGGAAGAGGACAAACAACTAAGAGCGAACAACGAGCAAACAATTTCCCCTCATCCCAACATAAAAGCAGCTTTAAATTATGGCCAATTTCCACTTCAATGCGTTTGTTCAAGCCGTACCTGCTTCTTTCAAGCATCAATTGCTCTTGTGCTCTATCGAGACGTCGATGGCCACTTAAGCCCTCACTATGTCGAACCATCCTAATCCTATTATGCACGACCTTGTCACTGCCCTGGAGCCTCAGATGTGCCATACTTGTCAGGTCAGTGGCGTAACTGGTCTCTCGTTGTCCGTTCTTTCGGGCGGAAAAGAAGCATACGCAAAACACTTTGGCTTCAGGGACCCTGAGGCAAAGGAAGCGCCAGATGGCGATACAACTTACTTCATTGGCTCAGTTACCAAAGGAATGGTAATATCATTGGTAGGCATGTTGGTTGCGGGAGGGAAGCTCGTGTAGTCGACTCACGTCGCCTCAATACTGCCCGAGCTCCAAGATGCCTCTACACATGAAGTTCCAATCCCTACCATATCCCACGAAACCCTCATGGGAGCTCGTGGGGCCGCTAGAAGCTGTGCCAATGACCTGGCCAAATATTATAGCAGCTTTGTGCACGCAGTCAATCATCAATTCAACAACAAGACGACCTTAACTCCAGACTAGCCATTCAGGCAGCTTACCACAATTCTCCGACCTCACAACCAGCTTGATCTCCTCTCTTTGCACAACAGTCTTATGCACTGGTCTGGGGGCGCGCAAAGCTCCCCTGTCCTCTAGGCACTCTCAGTTACAAATATCTGGTTATTACCTCCACGCCTGTAATTGGCCAAGGAGCTCGAGGTCAGTTCGCTCTGTATCATGGAAGAAGCTTTCAGGGAGTCAACACGGCCGTTTACGTGATGCCAGACACCGAGACGGCTATCTAAGTTCTGTCTGCTGATCTAAGCTCTCAGCCACAAGCCTCAAGTGCAAATAACACATCTAGCTCACAACTGAGACATTATGCCATACCGAGACAGCTACCATTGCAACTCAGCACTCGTCAGGTCTGGGCGATGCATGCGATTGGATTCCTCAAATGATTGTCCACAAACTGTCAGGCAGGGCCAAGAGCATCGACTTTCTGAAGTTTCTGAATCTTACTACTGTCGCTGCGAAGGCGGCCCCAGATCCGGCGGTGAAAATGGAAGATGAGCTTCAAATGAGACGGGAAAGAGGCACTGGACATTCGAACCTCGAGGCATATACGGGCCGATACTGGAATTCTCTTCGAAATTCCCGCATTAATGTCAGCGTCCGCAATGACCCTCTCTACGTCAATTTTCAAGGTATCGTGAACGAGACTTATGAGCTGAGGCACTATCATCACAATTCGTGGACATGGAATGTGTGAACAATGAGACGACGAAGCAAGGAAGATACCCAACAGCACCCTGGATTTCGTACATAATCGAATTCGATTGGGGGGATAATCAAGAGGTTCGGGCGTTGCTCTGGATGTATGACAAGGAATACACAAACCAGGGGTCTTCAGGTTACAGGAAGGGTCACGCCGAGGGTGAAGCCGGTGAACTTACGGTGGAAAATTCATTGGTGAAATAACGTCTTCATGTACAACCATAGTGATACTTACAAAGGTTTCAAAAGATCACGGGGCTGGGATTATAGTAAGCCATATTGATGCCCAATGTGTTACAGCCCCCGCGTCTGTGTCATCTGTTGTACTTACGAGGCCTCGTAACGAATGAAGAGGATGAGGTATCATTCCATATGTCAGGGAGTTTTGAGCATCATCAAGACAGTCCTTCCTGTGACATTTGGATACAGTATCTCCATCAGTTCACCAACAACGTATCTTGATGTGGTATTCTGACTATTCACCGCCACAATGCCTCGATTGACCGCCAAGCTCTTGCACCGCCGGAAACGACCTACCCCGGAAGATAAGGACGCTGCATCTGGAATCTCTGAGGCTAGATACGATCTGATCGTAGAAAGCAAGAACCCTACGACCAGTCAGGCACAGGTTTCAGCAGTTGCAAACTCGGATTCCCAGGGTGACATAAAGAAAACGAAAACCTTGAACTTCTGGCAAGAAGCATATGAGGAGATTCTAGGGGATGAGGACGAACAAATAAAGAAAATACTGGCCGCATACGATGTCCTCCTGGAGCGCGCTGCGAGGACAGACGGCAGAACAACTAGCGGCAACGCCTCACATCTAATGGACACGCAGAACCGATGCACCGATGTTGGCTTCAGCAGGGATAGTTCGTCAGCCGAAGTAGACATTGCAGAGTCCTCGAGCTCCGAACTTTCCGATTTGGATATCCACCAAATACCATCAACGCGGCGCATGGTGGTGGGAGATGATGCCAAAATGAGGGCCGTGGTGAAAATAAAACTTGAGGAGATGCAGCAAAAGGAATGGGTATTGAAGTGGCATGGCCATGTTTTCAAGGTGCGAGAGGAAGTCACCCGAGTCGTGGGGATAGTGCAGGAACTTTCTGGGTTTGCAAGCCAGACTGCTGTTCTGAACCCTTACTCAGGTCTAGCGTGGGCAGGTATATGTGTTCTCTTACCGGTGAGTTCAATATCATGCCATGTATGCTGGAAAAGTGGCTGACACTTGGTGACTATAGATCATTACTAACGATACGGACGAACGACAAATTGCGATTGATGGAGTTAGCAAGGCAACAGAACTCGTTGCACGATACAGAACCGTGGAGGAAGACTACAGTGATGGTAGGCATGGAAAGCATGAGGACTTTGAGAAGGTCCTTGTAGCCATGTACAGAATGATCACGTTGTTCTGTATCAAGGCTGCCTGCTACTTTGCTAGGCCAACACTGAAGCGCACGCTTAGGGGTATTGTTGTCTTGGACGATTGGAAGTCAACTCTTGCAAGCCTCACTAAAGCAGATGAGGAGTGCCAAGCATTCGTTATTTCACTTGGACTCTCCGCCTCACTCAAAAAGAATGATCAGATCTTGGAAAACTGAGCAGAATCGAGACCAGCAATCAAATCGACAGAATCAAGGCATGGCTTCTCTCTGACGTCGACGTCGATAAGCAGCATCTAGACAAGCAAGACAAACTGGGCTCTGAGTTCAGAAACAGTGGTAGATGGTTTTTGGACTCGTCTGAATTCAAGAAATGGGAAGGCAGCACCTCGTCACACTTATGGATCAGTGGAACCGTTGGTACTGGCAAAACGTCCCTCGTGTCCATTGTGGTAAATTCTCTGCGATCGCTTAGCACAGAGAACCTCGCCTTTTTCTATTACTCGGTCGATACTAGTAAGACATTGCAGACACCGAATACCGTTTCCCGACTTGAACAAATACTTCGTGGCCTTGTGGGACAGCTAGCAATGTCGTCGGATAGAACAAGAGTCACCGAAGAAGTTCAGATTGCTTTTGGGAAGGCGTTGAAACACGGCACTCTGCAGCCTGCGCCCCTGGGCTGGGAAGGGGCCAAGAGCCTCCTTATCGAGATCATCGCCAATCGCCGCAATAGTACCATCATAATCGATGGGATTGATGAGTTCCCTGAGTTCACAAACCTGCTGAAAGAGCTCAAGGCCATACATGACGCAGTCAAGCCAGGACAGCTGCGGCTACTGCTTGCCAGTCAGACAGTGGTGCCGGTTAGTGAATACTTTCCATTCACCATTCTGATGGTTGCTGGTGGAGAGAAAAGCAAGCCAGATGTGGACGCTTTCATTCGGAGGAGAGTAGAGCTCTTCGGAAGCGAACATCCAAGGGCTTTGACTCAAGCGGTAGCGGACGATATGGTGGAGACCCTTTCCGAGAACGCTGAGGGAATGTAAGTACATTTGTGATGTGTCGTCTACTTGAAGCCATTTAGTGATGATCGAGCAGGTTTAAATGGGCTGATCTTTGCCTCAAGCGAGTCTTGTACGATGACGATACGCTCCACATCCAGGACAACTGGGAGTCTGTCAAGCGACAACACTTTCGCGGCCTGCTCGTCGGGCTCGTGGCCAGAATATTTAGCCCTGCACCCTGAGGGCAGTGCATCAAGTGGACCAGTTTCCAAGATTTGCCAGAACTTTCTTCACACTTCCGAGAATGGAATTATCGCTGCCTCACATTCCTCTGTCTGGGATTACGTGAGTCTTAAAATGACGGCGAAAGTGGCAGACTTTATCGAATGCGCAGAAGGAGACGAGGAACAAGAACAAAGATCTGCAAGTATCCTCCAGGAAGCGAAAAAGACAACGGCTTTACTTGCAAACAAACGAATCGCCCAGGACTGTCTCTCGATGATTGTAGATTCTCATGACTCGGCATTCTTAGCTGATGCGCAAATGCAGACGCCACTGTTATGGTATGCATGTCGTAACTGGTATAAACATGTTGATGCGATCACAGAAGATGGAATGGTCTCGGCCGAACTCCAAAATCAGGTCACAGCAATGTTTGACTCTCGATGTATCAAGCATTGGGTTTCGGCCTACGACTCCCACGTTTCCGACTGCACAGCCGCACCAGATCCCTTATACTATGCCACACTCTTGGGCTATACCAGCATTGTCAAGCTTCTCCTAGGGTCTGGAGTAGGTCCTGGGACTGGAGGTCATCTTGGGCAGACCCTGCAGCTGGCTGCCTTTCAAGGCAAGACCGCCATCGTTCGCGAACTGCTCGGGAAAGGGTTCAACATTGACCAGCCAGATGAAGTTTTGGGAACGCCACTTCAGGCGGCGATTGCCGGCGGTCGGCGCGAACTTGTCAATATTCTCTTGGATGATTATAGCGCTAATGTCGACGCGTCTGGCGTGTCCTTCGGTAATGCTCTTCAGATGGCCCTAGCAATGCAAGATCAAGAACTTGTGGCTTCTCTCCGCGCTCATGGCGCTGGGCATAAGGAAACAACTCCTCGCGACAGGATCTGGGATAATGCTTGGCGCACGGCTCGAGGAGCCAGGTTCAATGCTGATGAAACCATCAATGTACTGCGAAATACTTTCTTAATAACTCCTGAGCTACCCGATGGGGTTGATCGGCGACTGAAACTTTTGGCTATTTGTATTCATCATCGCCGAGAAATCATTCGGCACCAAAAACTTGCAGATTACTCGGAGCATGTTTGGCGATCCAAAGAGGAACTGAGAGTCAAGATCGAAAAAGAGGGAACCTAGCAAGAGGTCGTCGCAAGATTCCGTGATGCTGAAGTGGCAACCCTCGGCTTCATTCCGACCACATGCACATGGCTCCTTGTGGCTCATTGCCAGTTGGGCGTTAACAGAAACAACTTGAGTCGCGCCCGCAAGGTCATAAAGCAAGGAGAGACCATTTACAAGATACTTTCCCGACACGAGACGTTTATTCGCACCCTTCCAGAAAACGGCCCAACCCTCGAACTAGAGGAATTTCTCGGGAATCTTTTCGGGCATATCATTTCTTTGGTGTCTGACGTTGCTGAAAACCTATCGGCACTCTCGACAGACGCGCCATACAGCAGAATCGTAAACAAACGTCTTGCCATTAATAAAAGTGACACAATGGCGTTACAGTCAAGTAAAATGCGCGAACTTCAGAATCTCCATAAAGACGCAATGATAGCGGAAGATAATGCAAGGTCAATGGCGACGCTCAACCAAGTAATTTCAGAATACGACGCCCGCACAACTTCCGAGCTGAAGCAGATGAGGAGGGAAATTACAGAGCTCAGGGCAGATATCGGTGACCTAACTCACAAAATGGATTTGCTTCTGAGTCTTCTTAAGTCCTTGCAATCTTAGTAACAGATTTTAGGTATACTTTAAATACATGGCTATTATTGATACTGAAGGAGTAAAGAGTAAGGATTCGTAAATAATAAAAATGCATAGGTTGAATTCCTCCTTTATGTTTATTAAGAACCTATGCAGCCCTTTCCCCGCTATGTCTCAATCTCATGTAATTCATTCCCTCAAACAGCACTGTCATACTTATCCTGACGGACCGTTGGGGTCTTTGCGGCATAGACGGAAACCATCTCATCATGGACAGTCTTCTCACTGACGATGGCAGCTCCCACTTCTGTGTGATCTACACCACCAAACAGTGCATCCATATGCTCCAGCGGCACTCCTTTAGTCTCTGGGATGCAGAACCAAACAAACGCAAAGAGTAGGATGTTGATGGCACCAAACATGTACATAGCATAGCTGTCAAAGAGGTTACTACATTAAGATTTCATAGGTAGACTTCGGGTAACTTACAATCCCTTGGCAGAAAGAAATATGGGAAAGATTTGTTCTACACAATTTATTAGTTATAGGTTTAGTGCCGGTGAAACACGGTATACTTGCGGAGAATAATGCTTGCGATATTCTGGCACTGAGTAGTCATAGCGACGGCCTGCGCACGAATGTTCATAGAGAAGATCTCTGAAGTCCAGATCCACACTGTCGCACCCCAGGAAGGCTTGAAGAAGAATGCAAACAGAAACATCAGGAAGACAGTCGCGATGCCTACACTGGAAGACTTGGATCCATCCTCCAGAGTTGGCGTCTCGGTGACGACGGCTGCGGCTGCGAACATGCAGACTGCCAGGCCCGCAACACCAACGAGGAGGAGAGGTCTTCGGCCCACGAGATCGGTCATCCAGGTGGCATTGAGAGTGAAGAGAATGTTAAACGTTCCAGCCAAGGCGTTGATAAGTTGGATCTGGCTGTTTGAAGTAAAGACCTTTTTGTAAATGATGGTGGAGTATGTCGCGAGGGAGTTGTTTCCGGTAAGTTGTTGGCCAATGTTCATCGTAGCCGCGAGGACTAGCGAAGTTAGGTAATGAGCATGAACAGGTTGAAAAGAACTTACGAATGCGCCTTCTCACAGACTTGTCTGTCCAGAGCAACTTGTATCGGGTCCAAGTGCTGTTTGTTTCTTTCTTCTCAAAGGCAATGGCCTGTCGTATTTCTTTCATTTCTTGGGCAATAAGATCTGGATCATCGCGGATTTGCAAGAGAGTATTGTATGCCTCTTCAAATCTGTCATTTTGGACATACCTGCATCTTGATAAGCATCGCATTCAAAAGAGCATACTGGCTCATTGGGATTTCGCAAAGACGTACCATCTGGGAGTCTCGGGACAGAAGAAAAGCCCCGAAATGATGATGACAGGAAAGAAAATCTGAAGGAACATAACAATCTTCCAGTCCCAGTCTCCGAGCCTCTCGGCATGTTTGGAGCACGCATAATTGATCCAATACGCGACAAAGGATCCTATAGCAAAGTTGAGCTGCCAGAAACTCATGATAGTGCCCCGGAGTTTGGCTGGGGCTATCTCGTTGATGAAGACCGGCCCAGCTGGTAGCATCAGTCCCTGGCCGAAACCGGTGATAGCACGACCAGCGATGTAACCGCCGATAACGGGAGGTGTAAATGTCGAAATAAACGTTGAGATGATGACAAGTACCGTGCCTGCCCACATACTCCATTTGCGACCGAATCGGTCTGAGACCAGAGCAGACAGGAAAACGCCTGGAGAATGTAAGCATCGAACTGATGACATAGAGTGGTGGGGGGTTACCTGTAATGATGCTGCTTACGGCCATGGCGGTATTGACCGACCCGATAGTGGAAGGAGACTGGTCATTGAACAGTTTAGATAAACGAAACATAGATGGTGTTGTTAAGAGAGGAGCTCATACGGGGTTGTTAAAGTAGTTCATGAAATGAACTGATCCCTGCACCGCGTTGAAGGTAGAGGAATCATAACCATTGACAGCCATACAGGTGCAAGGAATGAGGCATGAGAACCAGAGGTTCGCCTTCTTCGAGTTGAAGAGCATGCTGGGCGAGTGGCGTCTGCTTGTTGTGAAGTAGAGTGAGTTGAGAAGAGCAAGGTCGTCGGTTGATTGAGGTTTGGCATTTTATCTATAGATATTCCGGGGACGGGGGATCCACAATCAGGGCCAGGTCTAGACACCATCGGTACGTAGAGTCCGAGTTGGACAAGAAGGGTTTAGCAGCGGCCGCCCTATACCGTTGTACTGACCATGCATCTCAGACCCTGCATCTGCACCGACAAGGTTAAACAGGCCCTCTAGCTGCTATTTCCGACCTAGTTCCTATGCAGATGAATTGTTAGTCAGCTGCTTAAGTAACTTGGCATGTCACAACTGTCTTTCCCCTCTTTTTTTTCCCGTGATCTCCTCTCATCGCAGCTCACGGAGGTCCAATCGAAGGCAGCACTATGAAACTCCCTACAGCGTGCACCAGGTGCAGAAGGCGGCGCAAAAAGTGCTTCCGGACGAAACCTGAAGGCCCCTGTGATGCCTGTGCCAAGAAGCAGCATCATCAGTGCTCGCTCGTCCAGCCACCAGGTACTTCTCCTCAGCCACAGCGTGTCTCGGTCGAGGATCTGAACCCGCAGGCTTCTCTCTCGCATGACCTCATTGAAGAACTTGTGGAGAATTATATTTACTATATACTTGACAGGCCTCATACACTCTTCCATCTGCCCACGTTGCGGGCTGCTGTGAGGGAAGATACGCTGGGAGATGCGCTGCTGTCAGCGATACTGGCGTTTGGCTGTCGCTTCCATGATAAGCCTGAGATAGCATCCCTTGGACCTGCTTTCATGGATAGGTCTAAAACCTTACTGAAGCTTGATATGGAGAACATTTGTCTTGAGAACATTCAGACCTGCGTGCTGCTCGCAAACTTATCATCGTCTTCAAAGAATCCAGAATCTGAGGCTCTGTTTGTTACCCTTGGCATCCGTATGGCCGAGATTCTTGGCTTGGATCGCCCGGATCCGGAGGACTCTGAGGTTCTACGTGAAACAAAATGCAGGGTATGGTGGACGTTGTTCATGGCTGACCGTTGGAGTTCAGTCGGTCGCAACCTCCGTCGTGCGATGCCCGACTTTAATCAGGATACTCCCCTACCAATGGATGAAGACTATTTTCACCACCTGGATGCTGACCAAGGCAGTGGTGAGCCATCGCCTGCGCGCCCCCGTACCCTGGGGCTCTGGGCGTACAACATCATGCTTGCAAAGCAGCTAGGGCCTATTCGAGACTTGAATAAGCAGTGGAATCAGGAGGGCATCTCTGAAGATTACGTGATGCAGCGCGTCGCAGATCTAGCAGAAGGCCTACAGCTCTGGGAAGCGGGTCTTCCCGAGGAGAAGAAGGCGACAGAGGAGAATCTTCATGCACACAGTGCAAAGAGTCTTGGGGGACCGTTCCTCGCCATACATACAGGCTACCACCAGCATTTCGTGCTGCTGCTGTTCAGGTTTCTGGACCTCAATCGGGTGCAGACACCCAAGACGGTCGAGTACGCCGAGCTCTGCAAGTATCACGCCAGATCGATTAGTCAACTCGTCAAACTGTCGCGTCAAGTTCCGAACTGCGCGATGGTTTTCGGAGGAGTGGGCTACATGACTGTTGCCTCTTCAGCGGTACTCCTGCACACGCTCATTTTCGGGCAGCAGGATGACACGGCTGATATCCGAGCCAAGCTGGAGTCCAACTATGAGACGATCTATGCGCTTCAGAAGTACTGGCCTTCGATTCAGAACTCGGTTAGTACGAAGACTTGTGTTGGTGGTTAAATTCTGACGATTCCAGGTAAAACGTCTCGAGTTGTTCCAAAAGACTTGCACGAGGCCCGCTGCAATGCAAACCTACAAGTTCGACAAGTGGATGGTGAGATTTCTGGTGGAACACCATCTACCGCTGGATGAGCCTGAAGGGGATCTATCGCCTGGTGCGGTATAACATGGCATTTGGATTCGAAAGTATATATTTGCATTGATAACGGCGTACACGGTGCTGGGTTGCTGGAATCTTTTGTATACATATTCGTCGTGTCGTTTCGAATGATCGGTCGTGCTGGAAGTTCACGGAGAGGTGAGACGCGAGACGCGAGATGGTGGGACGTCTGAGCATGATATAAAGCGATAAAGGGGTCATATTTATCTTTTCGGGCCGTATCACAAAGTCCCACTGATAGTAAACAATAGGAACCAAACTGAATTCTTTGATCCATACGCTAACCTACGTATCGTGAATTGCCCACCCTAGAGCAACTAGTTTCTCTTGTCGACATCCCCTAACTCCCAGCTAATTCCGGGGGTTGTATGCTAACTATTCCGTAAGGGTTGCCCTGTGTGCGGGGTCGACGTCGGGATTTGGCTGTATAACCCGACGGCTGACAAGTGTCGGGAATCGCTCCAAGACCGCCGTAGCAAACTCACCGTCGGGATTTAGCTCGTTCGACCGACAATTAGAGAGCGTCGGGATACGGCCCAAGACCGTCACAAAGCGGGGCGGCTGAAAAACAAAGATCGTCTGGTTTTGAGTCGTGACATGGATCTATTGGTGGGCTTTGATGATGGGCGCAGGGGGCATGATGCCACGGCCAAAGAGTTTAGCACGTGATGCACACTACTTTTCTTCCTTCAGGCAAGGTGCCTGCGAAGCGAAGGTTTCAATAACGCAGCCAAGTGGCGTGAATATCAGCTTGAGGAACTGGAAGAGCTTGTTGCGCCCGTTGCGAACTGTCGAATGCACTTGGCTGGTCCGACATTTGCGGGTGGAGGCGAGGAATGTCACGAATGCGGGGCCCCAGTTGCAATTCTCTAGTCTACCCTACTACGGAGTACGGAGTAGCCTACCACACAATCTCTTCACGTGTGCATAATTAAACAGCACAGTTACACAAGGTGTCTTGACAACTCAGCAAGGAAACCCCCTTGTCATCCCAAGCATCTAGACCTTTTCAGAAGCCCTCAAAAAACGTAAGCAATCAGATAACGAAAAAACGAGTACGGATAATCCCGTTGCATACCGCACTAACTCATGCAGTCGAAAACCTAACCCCTGCCCCGACAATGTCGTATAGCGACTCACTAACCGAAATCGTCTGGCTCCAAAAAGTTCCCACTCTGGCAGCCCTAAGGAACATAAGCCGTCATCCCTGTAACTTGGCAGCTTGTATAGTCAAAGCCACAGTTATGATGAGATTAACTGGGGGATTCACTCCGTATTGTGTAACCTCTTGTCTTAAAATAACCATCTTCTGTCGTTTTTGCGCTCTGGGACTTGCTACTTCGCCCCCCAACTAGCGGTTAATTAGCTTGCAGCCTGAAACTCAGGTTAAAATAGGAAGCTATCTTACATAAATGTTAAATACCTAGCACTCTTCCCTTCTTGTTCATACCAAGACTCTTTGTCTCCCTTTATGGCATTTACTCCAAGATCTACATCTCACACTATAACTCTAGAAGAACCTTTTTCAATTACACTCACCAGACCTCACAGCTGGAGTCATACCCTTCACATACACGCCATCATGAGTCCCTCATGCAGGTCTATCAAACCTCGCTTCACATCACTTTCACCAAGCCCAGCAATTTCAGAAGGGCCGAGAAAGGCCGATAGAGCCTGTGAAAAGTGCACACGGACCAAGAAGAAATGCGATAAATCGTTGCCCGGTTGTTCGCGCTGTAAACGGTATGTAGAAATCTGTCCGACTTTGAGAAGTGCCTGAGTTTATCTAACTGGCCAGGCTCAGGAACAAATGCTGTTATGACTATGTCTATACCCCCTCAGTCACAACTGTCCTAAGACCGGAGAATATCACAAAATCTCCACCGCACATACCAGGGACGCTCAAGCCATTCCTCGATATTTCAAGCTCCATGATTTTGAGCCTGCTTTCTTCACGAAACGCCATTCCGAGTCACTCTGTTCAGCATTACTTGGAGACTATTAATCCCTACCTTACTATAGTCCACCCGGAACTCTTCGCTTTACGGACCAATATTACCGGATCTGACTCTTTTTCAGACCAAGAGCTTCAGGACCCTGCGACTACACTTCTGGTTGTATGCATGCAGCTATTTTCCCAAAACGATGATTCAGCTATCAAGGGTGAAGAAAATACGAACAGGGCCGTCTATCGGTCTGCTAAGCAAATATTGAGTGTCCTGCGAGCCATTGATAGTCCAAGTATCGAGCTTATCCAGTGTTCTATCCTGCTCGCATTCTACGAGTATACGCACGAGGATCTTGGGCGTGCCTACGTCAGTATTGGAGATGCTAACACCATGGCTTTGATTCTACACGTGGGCCCGGGGAAATACCTTGAGGACGAGCGGGAAGCCTTGATCCCCTACGAGGAAGAGGAAAGGCGCTGCGTTTACTGGAGTCTCTTTGTGCTCGATCGGCTAGTCCAGACGGACTATTCTCTTCTTCATATGCCGCACCAGATACCACCTGCCGTTGTAGCTCTTCCCGCGGCCGATAGCCTTCTACCTACGAACCATTTACTCTGGTATGACGAGGGCCAGTCGCCTTACTACATCACTCAGCGATACCCAGCAGATACAGGTTTCTCGGTGCCTGTCGGGCCTTTTCAAAGGAATTGTCAATATGCCATGCTCTATGCAGGAAATTCTTTCCCTCAGTCGGATTCGGGTCCAACGGCCTTTGAGCTGGGAAGTCATACTGCCACCTCGGCCTCGGTGTTGCCTATTAGTATTTTAGACCTATAGGCGCTATCTGATTTCACAAACTTTTATGTTATACGATCATTTTGGTGGTATTATAGTTCGGCGCTTGGAGTCATTATTCCTCTAGGGAAACTCTCTTAAATTACATTGGCTTAATGCCGTTTTGCAAAGCCCAGGAAACTCCGTTTACTGTCCCCAACTCTTCATGACGATGAAAGCTGAGAATGAATTGATCCCATTTGAACCAATCGATGAATTCCCGAATAGCAAACTCCTCACGTGAAGAGGGCAGAAATCCCAGCTTGCCTCCAGCAAAGTGAGTCAGTTGATGGTGTTGTGACGGCACATTATTGACAACCAAGGTCAGGCTTTCACCCGTGCTATGTCTGATATCCAGCGCCATTTTAAGCCCCGTGTTAACATACTTGCCGACATAGTCCTCGAGATTGACATTTAACTGGTGTTCTTCCCTTCTCTCCTGGTTTCGAAAGTACTCAAAGTCTGCCGCCAGACGGGTATATCTCTCATACTCTATCTTCGCTCTCTGCTTAGATACCTCGTCAAAGTCGACCAGCGGCTGGAGGTCAAACATGGCTTGTGCAATAGCTTGCGCAGACCAGTCCGGTCCATCTCCCAAGCCATGAGAGTTACCCAACGCCACGATCGCAGACTTCGTCTCCGGAAACAAGTAGAAAGCTGTCAGGTATCCCGACATATCGCCATTATGATACAAAACAAGCCTTGGTCTTGACGTTTGACCAATTATGTGTTCTCTTTGCGGACCGTTGAGAGAAAGCATTCCTAGCTCTGTCGATGGAATCATGGCGCGAGCGAACCCGAGGCCGTGTGTATTCTCGCCGATAGAAGATGTCGTAATGTAACTCTTGTGTGATACGATTGTCGGTACCTCTTTGAGGACTGAAGGCCCATCGTGAATACCGTCGAGGAGAGCTTTTGCCCACTTCATCATGTCTGATACATTAGACCAGACACTTCCAGCCGGTCCCATAAGAGTGTTATCAGCGGCTGTGTCAACCGGCTTTTGCCTGTGTAGTGAGTAGTCGTCAAGGACGACATGGGGTTCTGCAACATTGTCATCCGGTAACTTAGCTCGGTTTGTGACAGTTCGATGCATTGCAAGGGGTTCCAAGATCCTCTCTCTCAAAAGCTCGTACCACGGCCGACCTGACTGTGTCTCAATGACTGAGCCAGCCACAGCGTACATGTAGTTGTTATAATGAAAGCCACGTCGTAGGTCATGGACCGGAGGAAGATGGCTTACAACCCCAAGCAAATCCTCTTTATCAAGGATGTAGCCACACTCTACCCCTAGCCACGTAAGGTCCATGTGTGCTAGCCCAGTATTATGTGAGAGCACATCTTGCATGGTCGCTCTTTCACCGATAACAGGATCCACGATACTGCGGAACGGGATATAACTCTGCAACGACTTTGTCCACTCCAACTTTCCTTCATCGACAAGGATGCCGCAACAGGCAGCTGTGAAAGCTTTCGTGAGTGAACATAGTAGATAATTCGTCGCAGAATCAACGGGTGCTAGTGACTCCGCGTCACGGAACCCGCGACTTCGAGTGAAGACCACTTCTCCGTGATGAAGAACGCCGATGCTGATGGAAGCTGATCGAGTGTTGTCTTGAATTTGATCAAGGATAGGACATAAAGCCTCAAGTCTAAGGCGGGGTTAGTAACATCATCTGGCTTTGGCTGATGAAGCTATGGGTACCCTACCTAGATCGCACCGCGTCTGAGTCCATGTCCGCGGCCATGGTGTCCTATGGTGATCTGCTGTTGAATTCACAAGGCAGCTGTTGCTACAAGATACGTAAGCAAGTAAATTTGCAATTGAGTTACTATTCTGAAATGTCTGGGTGCTCTCGGCCAGATTCGGTCAAACTTGCGATATACTCTGGGGCTCAGTGCCACGGAATTGAGTCGACGTTGATAGCTCAACTCTATCTCATCTCTCTTTCGACTAAATCCCTATAAGATTTGGTATGTCTCGTGTAAGTTTTTATTCCTTCATCTGTTGCAACCAGGTCTCGCTTCCGTCTTCTACTTCAGAATCTGACCAAACACTTCGCAGTCGTAGCTGATGAATCAAAAGGTCTTGCTAAGAAATAGATAGCTATTTACATTTTAAGCCCCTCCGCCTGCAGGTCAAACGCCATCCCCACCGCTGCGAACGTCCCCACATGCATCGCCTGTATGACATTCTTCATCGGGGTCGCGCAGTCCCCTGCGGCATAGACCCCCCTGACGCTGGTAGCTCCATACGGGGGTGTCACTTTGATATCTCCACTTGGCGCCAGCTCCACGCCCAATTGCTCTGCAAACGGGCCGTTAAGCTTCGTAGGCGGCTTGTGCGCAAGGAACGCCTCCTGAACCGAGCTCCCGTCCGCAAATGTGATAGTAACGCCGCTACCTTCGGGACCAAGAGCGAGAGAAGCGATCTCCCGGTTGTCTATCGTGATGGCAGTATCCTTTTCGCCGAGGAGGTCTGCGATTGCGGTTTGCATGGTAGGGTTGTTTGAAGTGTAGATGACAGCCTTGGAGGTCATCTGCTTGGCACTGCGCGCGAAGGCAATGGCTGCTGCGGGAGTGGTGTTTTCGCCAAGTGCGAGGACTCCAGCAGAGGGCTTTCCGCCTTCTTCGTAACCGTGGCAGAAGAGGCAGTGGTAGCTGGAGGAGTCAGTATCAATGTATCATTCACCATGGTAGATTGGGGAGGAAACGAACATGGATCGGCCCCAGCACTCAGCATATCCCTTGATATCAAGCGGCAGATCAGTGACACCAGTAGCAAGCAAGACTCTCCTGCCAGTGAAAGTAGTCCCATCTACAGCCGTGGCTGCAAAGTCGCCATCACTCGTCTTCTCGACCTTTGCAATTTCGCGATCCTCGAAGGAGATGGTGTTGTACCGCTCCAAGATCTCCTTGCGTGTCGCGGCCCTAAAGGCAGCGGAGTCTTTGTGATCCCATGTGGGTATGGTATGCATATGCACTGAACGCGCGTTGCGGAAGAGAGAGCTGTTGAAGACAATAGCAGTATGAAACTGGCGGGCAAGAGCTAGGGCTGCAGATAGGCCGGCGGGACCTGCACCGATGATGAGGACGTCAACGATAGGCATGTTTGCAAGATTTCTGGCTGTGGATGTTAAGAACTTGGGTATGAGGTTGGTAGCCAGTCGTGAAAGAAAGGCATGAGAAAGAGAAAGAAGAGAGGTCCATGTGGTATATATTCTATTCTGTAAGGATGGATGCTGGAAAATGAGCCGATCTATGATTATAATGTCAGGCGTAGTAACCCGATCTTGGTAAATCTGCTTCTGAACCCTCCCTGGAGGGTTTTCAGAGTGCAGGGTCGGCAATCTTTGTCACACTAAGATCCACGTTATCCCGATTGCGAATAGCATAGAAAGCTAAAAAAGAGATGCAGAGAATAATTAGTGATTAAGAGAAATGTTAGCGTGAGGCTAAGAATACATCTGTACGGCATAAAACCTCCCTTTCCTCGCCAGCAAGACTACTAATTCTCCGGAGGCTTTAGTTCCCCCGGCAGTGAATTCATTAACAAACTCGCCTTGTCCCCTTCCGGGGGCTCGTCTTACCTGTGCATAGATCAACAATGCTTTGGGGGGAGGGTCACGTAGTGGCTCGCCGTACGACTGCTGTAGGATTGCCCCTCGCTTTATGTCGTCTCATCTCTTCCGACTTTTATAGACTCGCGTGACTGCAAAAGTGGCTTAAGCACAATTGGGCATTTATAACACCACCCTCGAAGGTCGAAAAAAAAAGGCTCAGGATATTTTAGATCCATATGCCTTCGAGAGACAGTCCACAGATATCCCCGTACAAGGTCTCGAGGTTGTGGCTCGCAATCGTTCTGGTGATGCCTCAAGCAGACAGCTGTCTATTCAAAAATTCATTGCGATCAGGCTACCGTAACTAGTAACAATCAATTCGCTCTCTAAATAATATAAATGACATAAAAAGCCAATGATGATAAGTAAGGTCCGATGAAGTGGACTGTCATCGGCCTAACATCTCACCGTCAGATGGGGCTAGCCGGTAACGGAAGATGGTGGGACCGGCAGATACCGAGAGCTTCACAAAAACCCTCCGAGGATGGTTTTGAAAAAGGATTAGCGGGTAAACAGTGCCTCATTAGCTAACGGACCAGTGACGCGCTCACTCTCGCACGCGGACTGATGAACCTCAGTCAATCTCTACTCTCCCCCTTGGCACTCAATTGCTCGCCCTCCTTGCCGTGCAGCCCGAATATTTCATTCTTTCCCCCCACTCGCTCCCCCAAGACTCCGACCGGGTTTCTGTGTAACCCCGTATAACAATGGGTACCTCCACGGTCCATCCTTCGCAACGGCGGCTGTCCTGCGATGTCTGCCGTCGGCACAAGACGAGATGTCTACGCATCAAGCAAAACGACCCAAAATGTGCACGATGTACTATGCTCGACGAGGAATGCAGCATTGGTGGGCCGAAGAAGGTCGGGAGACCCAGGAAGTCAGACTTGCCAGCTGGCCAGCATGCACGCAGAAAGTCGATTGAGGAGACCGGAGCGAAGCCAGTTCGATTGAAGAAGAAACAGACGACCGCAAGGAACCAGCAGAGCGACCCAGCCACTTCGAGCGAGTCACCAGACTCGGACATCTTCTTGGAGATAAACGACCAATACGAAATTGAGAACATGATGTTCCCAACAACAATACCATCAACCACAGCTTCTACAGCGGCGCCGCCGGCTATTGAAACCACAACAAATATTATCTTTGCCCTCGAGTCATCGTGGTCTACTCCTAGAACAGCTGAACTGCAGACTCCATCATTCCCTGAGCGACTGCCGTTGAAGATCTCAAGTTGCTTCAAGCACAGCTCCGCTTTTGCCGACTACGACTGGAACATAGATGAAAATGATATGTCAAAGGCAAAGTCGAGTCGGCTCGACCTTACTGTCATTTGCTCTAACCCTGCAGGCCTGGTGATTCCAGAGCTAGGCTCCCCCGTGGCTAGTATCGAGCTTTCAGACGCTCTGTCTAAGCTGTCGAAGCTCAACAACGACTTACACACCCGCATGGCCGCCATTGAATCGCATCGGTCCGTCATCACCCTGAGCAGCATCCTCTTCCGCGAGGGCCCGCTATTTATCGACAGCCTCACGCTTGGAGAGTTCACATTGGAGTCAACTCAGGATCTCTTCCAGGTGCTATCGCGGCTTCTCAACAACCGAAAATGCCATCCGCCAGTTGAGAGTGTGCACATGCTCGATATTGTGAACCTGCCGGGCCTGGACGGCCAGTCTTCGTCGCCACATCCTTACGGAGGTGGACACAATGGACCAAGGCCCGGCTTTGCCTCCTCCATCACATCCGCCTCTCTACCGCCGTTACGAGCTCCTCTTTTCTTAACCATCGCAGCCGTCTTCACTCAGATCATATCCCTCCATGAGGTTCTCCTCAAGCATATAATCCTCTGGCTCTCCATCGAACCCCTCAGACCCATCTCGGGACTCCGGACCGGCGAGGCGTCGACACAGGATCTTTGCGTGCAGGGCATACGCTATTGCAACGCCACCCTCAGCTTCCTGGAGAGAATCGAGCAGATCCTTGGCCTCTCCGGGCTGCCCGAGTGGGGAGGGTCGGGGCTGCTGTCCATGCAGCAGATCGATCTGCTCTGGAGCGTGCTGGACGGCGGCGAAGGTATCGCTCCGGGCCACGGTTTCATGCGGCCGGCGTATGTGAGGAAGTCGCTGTGGAAGGCATCGTCAGTCATGAGTCGAGTCATGCCCCAGTAAGTGGCTCCTGGAGGCGAGCTGAGACAAACCCATTGTAATACATGAATGACATGTACGATACACAAAGGAATAACGATATCAAGATAAAAATAAAATAAAGAAATAAAAATCCCTCTTGAGTGCGCCTGAATAGTATTCTATAGGAACAGGATAGCAACCGAGAGGTGAAACCTGTCAGTTCCATTTATTCTATGAATCGAAAAATCTAAATTCCAATCTTCCATGGGCTTGTTCCAGCGCTCAGTAATGTTTTTCTCTGCCTCCTCAGAAATCTTTTCCACGGCCTTACTGCCATTATCTAAGGCCGGTTCAGTATGCTACCCAAATTCTCCATGGAGGTGAGTCTATAATCCTCTGATTTCTGGGATCTTCAACGGGATGGGATGCCATGTTGTTGTTGTTCTTGATTGTGATGATTCTATTAAGGCTATACTTTTGTGAGAGGACAGTGATATACATGCTATTAAATAGCCTGGTGATGCGAGTACAAAAGCTAAAGGACCTTGAGCCTACATAACCTGCCTGAGCTTCTCGGGGCGCTGTTGACCCTGGTTGGTCGTCGCGAGCTTAATGGGAGCTTGTCAGGATTCATGGCGCTTCTGTCTTCGGCACTTAGGCATCTCAGGAATGAGACCACCTGTGTGCCCTACAAGGCTCAGTGGAGCACCCCTGTTAGCTGCACCCAACCAACGTCCACCGTGTTTCAGCAATGTCTCATCGCCTACAGCTTTATCGTTGCACCGAGCCACATAAGCTGACTTCGGCATTTACGAAACTCGCCTGGCCTTCTCGGCAGCGCGGTATTCAGTGTCTGTGGTTTGAGTTTGTGTCAATATGCCGAGAGCCGATTCCGGAGATCCGGGTACTACTGGTCCAGCGGTGAACTATCGAAAGTGGCTCATGCTATCTTGATCCCTTTATGGCATATGGTGGACTGAAATACCTATAAAGTTGCACAGACACTAACAAATCTGAGTCGTGAGGGTATCAATTACCAAAAAGGATCAGCACTGCATCAATAATCCTACGTGGCCTGCAGTCTGACGAGCGCCACTTTCACATCTCCTGTCCAAAGCAATGGCTGTCTCACTCAAGCTCAGTCAATTGGCGCCCAGACGTACGTCCCTACTCAGTTTCATCACCAAAGTCCCAGGGCTGATCTTGTCATACCAACAAATTGCCTTGGCATTCTCACATCAGATTTTAAAGGGGCTCTAGCGAGGCCCCAACTGTACAACCAACGTCGTAATGCTAGCCCTGTAATTGGAGCACCTCTCAATTGCGGCTTACCATCGTTGAAACCATCTAACCTCTTTAGGGGTAGCGAGCAGAAACGTTGAATTAACTGTCTCAGTTCGTTATCTCCGTGTTGACTCTCTTAAAAATGCCCTGGGCCCGCTTTGACTGTGACAGCTTGGTCTGTTCATTTTTTGTGACATTTTGCAGTGAGAAATTGCAGACATGTCGTTGCTTGACGCTCTAGACTCGTCGTCCACGAGGGTCTTGTTAGGATGTCTTTTATTAGCAGGCATTGCCTACACCCTCTACCGCTCAATGCTACCCCGTCCCTTAGCAGACATCCCCTATAACGTCTCCGCAACCAATCGTATCCTGGGCGATCTCCCCGACGTCAAGGCATTCGGGAGCTTGACCGACTGGTTAGCGACGCAGGCTATTCAACACCAATCACCGTTATTCCAAGCGTTCATCCGCCCGTTTGGGAAGCCGTGGGTTGTTGTCGCTGATCATTATGAGGCCGCTGAGATCTGCACGCATCGAGTGAAGGAGTTTGATAGAGGGACATCGAGCACGGCTATTTTTAATTGTGTCGTGCCGGGGGCGCATATCACGCTTACGAGTTCGGATCCGCAGTTTAGGAAGAATAAGGAGCTTGTGAGGAATTTGATGACGCCGTCGTTTTTGTCAGAGGTGAGATGAGACTATCGGGATACGTGATCAAGAGACTGATTTGAGTAAAGGTATCGGCGCCTGAGATTTACGATAAGTTCTCTCGATTGGTAGAGCTCTGGGGAATGAAGACTGAGCACGCCAATGGTCAATTCTTCTCGGCCTCAAAGGATGTACACAACGCTGCCCTTGATATTATCGTATGCGCCGCTTTTGGCCTCGACACTCAACATACCCAACTCGTGAAAGAAATCCAAGAGCTCGCCCCAGATAACAACACCTCTTCAACCAAGACCGAAGGCGAAATCGCTTTCAAGGAACTCCCTCTTAATGAAGAGCTCAACGCCTTAGCAACTGTCGCCGAGAGCGTCGCCAAGATTATCAAGACGCCTTCTCCGCCGCTATTCCACTGGATGTATCGAACCTTTTCGGCCACCCTGAAGAACGCCTTTGCTCTTGCGAAACGACTTCAGGAGCGAGAAATCGCTAATGGCATCAAGAGAAGAGCAAATGGAGAGGCGATGAAATGTGCGCTTGATGAGATCTCGGTTCGAGAAGAGGCGCTGGCAAAGAAAGAGGGGAGAGAGCCTGATTACTACTCTCAGGTGATCACCAGTGAGGTGAGTACCTGCGTCGCTCTATCTGACGCATTATGCTGATCGACTTACAGATGATGACCTACCTCATCGGCGGCCATGAAACTACTTCATCAGCTGTGCGATGGGGCTTGAGCTATCTCAGCGCCGAGCAAAGAGCCCAATCTGAACTACGCAACGCGCTCCAACGAGCATATCCCCAAGCTAAATCTGAGCGACGTGCTCCTTCACTCACTGAAGTCATCCAAACTCGTGTTCCTTACCTCGATGCAGTCGTCGAGGAGATTCTTCGCTTGTCATATCCCTTTGGCATGACTCTCCGAGAAGTCCAGGTCGATACGCAGATCCTCGGTGCACGTGTACCAAAAGGCACAACAGTAGTCTTCTTATCCAACGGTCCAAGCATATTGTCACCTCCAATTGACTTCGACGAGTCACGAAGTAGTGAGTGGGTCAAGTCTCGCAAGCCAAAGCCTTTAGAGAAGGACTATGACTATTCGAGTTTCAAGCCTGAGAGATGGCTCAAGACGGCTGCTGGTCCAGATGGGAAAGAGGACGTGAGCTTTGATTCTCAGGCGTTTCCGATCCAGGCCTTTGGGCTAGGTCCGAGGGGCTGCTTCGGGAGGAGGATGTCGTACCTTGAGATGAAGATCTTCTTCACTCTTGTCATCTGGACTTTTGAGTTGTTGCCGTTGCCAGCTGATCTTGCGAGACCGAAGCCAGTTTCGTCATTGACTAGGAACCCTGATAGAGTGTTTATCAAGACACAAAAGGTCGTGCTGTAAAAGGAAAAGTAGAATGATATAGATAGATGTCGAGTAAAGGAACTATTATGCTATGCCGATGAAGCGCTTTATGCTGCCCAGAACTTCCTATGCAAACCCGCCAAACCGTGCCAATGCCAAAATCAGATAATGCAACTCAATTGTGATGATCCAAACGCCGTCATCTGGCTATCCACGTCTCAATCACACTCCTAATCTTGCTATCAACCTTCATAGGACTAGGTTCACTCAAAAAGCCCCCTGTATCATGTAGCACCAAGTCATCTGGCTCCACCAAAGTCGTTCCGTCACTCCGCGACATCTTAATAGTCGCCAGAGATCTTTGAACAAAGATTCCCTCTGTGCTGCTGCTTGATCCTTTGGGTAGAATGTTCCATGACCTTACCCGTGCTGCGATAGCGCGGAAGATTGGTTGCATGTGAGGCATGCAGGCTACCAAGATACCTACGCCGCTTTCGATGTTGGACCATACGACGAATCCTTGAGCATCCGCTATTGCCTTCCTCTCAGCTGATGTATTAAGGTCAGGGACTTGGAATATACTTACATGATGCGTTGAATGTTCTTGTGAAGTCTAGTAAGTAGGGGATTCGGATGCAGCTGGCTGCAATGAGACTAGACGAATGTTAAGATGGATTCTAAACAAGAAAATGGGAGGCTTACAAGATACCAACGCCAAAGATCACCATAACGCCAGCCTTCTTCTTCGGCTGAAGTCCTAAAGAATACAACTGCGTCAACGGTAGCGCAAACATCCAAATATCAAGAGCAATGTTAACACCAGCGTGAAAGAAGATGATTGCCGGAGTATTGAGTGTGATACCACGATGTGGGTACTCTTTCCATCCATCCCAAAGCAAGTGAATTGGCTGTCGCTGCAGTGCTCCGCATATGATGACGATGATTGTCGTGACAATGTTAAATGCGATGGTGCACTTAATGATCAACCTGAAAGTCGGATCGGGGAATGTTCGGAGAAAGAAATAGAGTATTGAGAGCTTGATGAGGCAGAGACTTAGAACGTAGGCGTATTGAACGACAAGGAGGTACTATACTTGTTAGCCGAGATTGATGGGCTGGTTGAGGATAAGAGCTTACTATATGAAAAGTGGTGATAGTGCTGTCATCGAGCGTCCAGATGTTCCGCCCCAGGCCCGCAAATGTCACTGTACAAAATCAGCAATGGACTCTTAGATATCTACATAATGCAGAACTCACTCAGGCCCATGATGATGCATTGAACTCCTGTGAATACCTAGCAGGGTCAGTAAATCAGCATGACGCACGACGCATCGGGAAGTCCTTACCGACGCTGCAATGATGAGATAATCGTCAGCACCCCATTGTGAAAAATGATACGATTTCGTGACAGTTCGAAGGACGATGGAGAACACTGCTATCCCAAGGATCGTGTAATTGATGCCTCTGATGTTGTGATCGTTGTCAAGCTCCGGTCTGCCGCAATTTGTCTGCTCAAGCTTGAGAAAGTCTGTTCAGCAAGCGTGAATATGAGTAGCTTGATCTTTGCAAAGCCAATATAGAGGGGTTCCTACCAAAAAGGTCTCGAATCGGGCATGATGCGTGGATACAGCTGGCTACCGTATTGCCGAGTTTGTGATCATGGCATATCCGTTCCTTGTTCACGGTCGAGAATATCGGCTCATCAACGAACCGCGAGAAACATTTGATCTACAAACTGATTAACGAATCCATAGCGCGAGATGAATGGGTACACGCACGGCACATTGCGACGCGTCCTCTAATCTCTGAGCAGTGGTCGGTGAACTAGCGTCGACTTGGGAGAATATACACGGTAAAATGAGAAGAAACAAGCGTAATATCGCGAATAGCTTCATGATGGTCTACCGCACAAGCGAAACATGGAGCACCCCAAGAACTTTAAAACCGCGGGATGACGGGGTAGACTTGTCTCATTAAGAATTCAGGGGCACGGACTAAAGGTGGTTTTGCTTTGTCGACGCTAGGCCGTCCATTGGTCTGAAATAGACGAGATCTTCGTACTCTAAACCAATGGGCTGTATTGGTCCGCGAATAAGGATGGCCATCACACTGAAAGGAGCTAGGCGGGGATCTTCACTGCTTATGCATTCCAGGGTTACAGATTAGGCTTATTTTTGCTACGCTTTTGACGGGGAGATTGGCGGGACGTCTTGGCAGGGCCTGATTTGGCGTTAGGCTTGTCTGTTGGTGGTGAGTATGAGTCTTGGCTGCGGCAATGTTGTCGGCAGGGCAAGCCATCAGTGCAGTGACCACTAGCGATAGGTATGATCTGTAGCATTTGGACATATCTTTAGCTGGCTGTGGGGTTCGAATTATGGCTGTTGAAGACCTTGCGACGTGTTTGGCAAACGTAAATGTGGATTATTAGAGTCACAGCAAAGTCCGGCCAGTCCATTGGCACAGACGCCTCGTTGGGCTGACGGACATTCCGGATATCACCTGGAAGCTGTAGAATTTGAGATATTCGGATGCCGGCTGAAACTTCATTGTCCATGGAATGAAGGCTTTGCGCATCAATTATGTCCGTTGATCCACATCATTTCCGGGCCCATTCGAGATCTGGGATCAGTCTAGATCGGGCATGGCGCTTGATCTACTCGTAGAATCGTCCACTTTGTCAAGGGCTGTACGAAGTAGATAACAAATACAGGCTCCATGATATGATATCTGGAGATTGAGAAGTGCAGACTCCGATGACTGTTGGTAGGTGGTCAGAAATGATGGGAAGCGCCTTGGTGGAACACTCGGCCTCCTTGAAGTTCGATAAGTATTTGTAACAGAATTGCAAAAAGGCAACAGCAATCCTACCCGCTTTGACGTTTTATTGAGCAAATCATGCACTAATGTAGGGCAAACAATAAAGTGTAGTCGCATCAGTATTCAAGCGACGCCTAACTATAATCAACAGAAGAATGGTTCTCCTTATGTCGCAGGCTGGAATCAATGCTAAACGCCGTCGTCAAGATCCACAGGTCTAGGGTGAGCAGTACAGATCAGACTGATTATATAAGCGGGAAATTCACGTCGTCAGCGGGAAATGCTCAGTGGAGACATTTGCCGACCCAATCAAATTGAGTAAAAGCTGCCAAGTCTTGACGAACTGGAGCTGCTAACATCAAATTTGACCAAGCAACCGATAGTTATGGAAACGGTTCCGAATATGTGGAGTTTCAGATCTATATAAGTCTCGTCTTTCCGGACCTCGGCATTCCATTCAGTCCGAAATTTGGTCAGTATTTATTAGAAGCGTCTCCCGTTTTCAGCAGCGTAAGATCTGTTGGTCAACCTAGCAAAAAACACCAATCATGTCTCGGTTATCGCCCCTTCTCCGCCAACGACTGATCCTTGCCGCCAAAGTCGCTACCGGGCTCTCAATCACCGGTGCAGCAAGCTTTCATCTCGTGACAAGAAAATGTTACTTTGAGCCCTTTGGACCGGACAATGGCAGATCATTGTATGAGCATCCACTGCTGAAGCAGATCAATCCTTGGAATAAACCGGGTTCGGCCGACTCGTGCGTGAGAGAGGTACCGTTCGATAAGCTGGATAAGGTGCTTTTGGAAAATGCAAAGAATGGAGGAACGAAGCTGGTTGAGAGGTTTATTGCGGGAATGTGGGGAGGGTTCGGTAAAGGTCATGGAAATTGGTGTTTTAGTCGTAATGCTGATGATGAACAGGATATGGTATCCAGAGAAGAATTATGACATTCTTCAAGAACGAGGCGAATAAGAACGACCTATGGGAGAAAAAAGATCTTCTAGCATCTACCTATGAACCAGGTATGCTATCTATGATTTTACTCTTCTCTCCTCTGACACGCAACAGGCACATATTTCACGAACCATTTCGTTGTTCTATCAAAAACACCAACATGTATCACCATGAGGGGCTGCTTTGATCCTCACCAGTCACCTCCGACTCCAATGAACGTCGACAATCTCGTTGAGATTCGTGCAGAGCTCGATAAAGCAAAGCAGGTGGCCGTTCTCAAGCTCCAGGTCATCACATTTGACGGAAGGAAAGAAGCGAGTGACAAGGAGGACCCTTTTGGTGGTGTTGGAGGATGGCTTCACAGACGGTATTCTACGTTACTGGTGGAATCAGGAGCCAGGAACTGCTTGCAATGAGCTTTTGTCAGATGTATACTATCAAGGACACTTGTGCGGCGACACACTATGAAATTCTGTCTTGAACTTCAGCATCTAGCGATGATGGTTTTTTTGGACGACACAGGAATTCTGTAAGAACTAGAGAAAGGCTGCGGTGCCATTCAAAGACAACTCTGTACACTACCTATATAAATTAAACCACCGCTCTAGAAAAGCGAATACCGTCGCACCCAGCTCAACTGAAAACCACTATTCGTTTCCAAGCCTATTAGCCCTCATCGATAGCACCGACCGGCACTGCAGTATCTCGCAGTGTTCTTGCAGCATTCCTTCTTGCAACACTTTTTAGTGCGACAGCAAAAGTTGCCGATGGAGCACTTTCGGGGGAACTTGGCAGGGCAGACTTTGGCAGCGAGTTGGAGAGCCTCGCCGTGGGAGAGGCTGTAGCCGTCTTCGCCAGAGTTAGCGAGGTCTGGGAGACCCTCAGCAGTGCTGATAGCAGGGCTAGCGGCAGCAAGGGGGAGGAGAAGCAGGAGAGTAGTGGTGAACTTCATGGTAAGAGATTGAACTAAGTTCTCTTAGCGAGAGATAGAGCCGATGTTTTCTTGCCGATTGGGTACAGAAATGTTAAGGCGAGGCAGCTTGTCGAGGACGAGAAGTCGTAATATCAGCGGAACTCGGGGTCCTTTATACTTATCCGACAGACCTAAAACTGGATTCGGGTAAGATTGCGCCGTTACTAGTTGCAGGTGACCATTGCAAGCCATACATCGACGTATGCATCACGGTCTCTATAGTGGTGCCCCTCGCACTCCTAGCTCAAAGCAGCATGGCGAATTGCGCGACGTCACATCAAGGGTCATAAGGCTCGTTTCAAACGCAAACCTGGAGGATCGCCATTCACTCTTCGATCAAAGCTGAAAGTTAGCTTCGTCTGTGCCGCCTGACTACAGTTTTTAGCTTGCCTAGTTGGCATTTTGCAGGGGTTTAAGTGGTACGATGGGAAGTAATTAATAACTCAAGCTTTTCTATTTAGATCCTTCGGTGATGTTGGGCATGGAAAAGGCGCCTCGACTGGTCCATGGGATTTTATTGGTCGGATGAAGTTATGGGATGAGGTGACAGGCGGGAAGCTTAGAGTAAAGCTTCTCCGCGGATCACAGATCCAATTGGAAGGGGAATTGAGTGTTGCCTGTTCGAGCTAAAGCGACTATGGACAACGCAGTCTGTGACAAAATTAGTAAGAAGCTTTAGCAATTAGCTTCATTAATTGGTCAATGGCTTGTTGAGGTTTTGGCTTCGCCCCCTCTCAATCAAGTCCTTGTTCTTTGTTCTACAGTGAATGATTACTCAGCGAAGCCAACCTCCTCGCTATTGCGATGCCACAGAAACCTTCATTGTCCTCCTTCAATGTCGACCGGGCGAAAGCTATTCGCACAACTCCCCCAATGGCCTCTCTCAACTCAACTATCATTTTTGAGGCTGGAGGCAAGCGATACGTCACAACAGACGCCATTCCTGTACGTTCGTTCATCTAATGCCACTCGAACTTTACATCTGACCATCGATATAGTTCCAGTCCCATACTAATACTCCACTGGAAACTCTACTAGTAACCGTTCTTGCGAACCATTACGGTATACCCCTCAGCAAAGAGTGGATGAAGAGATACTTAAACAAGCTGGATGGCTGTGATGTTTATGATCGCGACTTGTTCCTTTCAAGTGTCATCATCACTACCCCGCATCGTGACCAGGCTATGCCTCATGATTCTTGGGAACATCTAAAGGAACTGGGAATGAAATGGCTCGATATTGTAGTTGAAGGCGGCAAAAAGCATCTTCCTACAGGGCCTTATTTGTACACCAATAATAAGCTTCACCCTATCTGTCGTTTATATGATGATGAGAAAGGAGCGTTCTTCTCAGGGTTGAAGCTCAAGCTAGATCTGTAAGTGACGTGTTCTTTGAAGCGTCTGCCGACCACTGATATGGACAAGGTCGCCATTGACACCGTTTGATCAACTCGGCGTTGCAAGTATTTCTAATAACTACCTCGCAATCGCCGTCCCGTCTCGAGCACCAGCGCTCGTTACCGACACCCCGCAAAATTTACGCGTTGCAGTAAAGGACTGTTTTTTTGTCCGCGGCATGAAAACGTCACTCTGCAATATGGCTTACTACGAATTAAGTAACCCGGCAGCTTTCACGGCTGATGTGATCCAAGCACTGGTTAATGACGGTGCACACATACTGGGCTTGACGAAGCTCAGCTCAATGATAGCCCGTGAAGAGCCCATGGATGCCGTTGACTATCCAACAGCCTTCAATCCCAGAGGGGATGGATATCAGTCTCCTGCCGGAAGTAGTAGTGGGAGCGCTGCTGCTGTTGCGGCTTATGACTGGCTCGATTGTGCGATCGGTACTGATACGAGCGGAAGTGGGCGTCGGCCAGCATTGGCGAATGGTGTTTGGCAATTTAGGCCTTCTCATGATTCTATGTCGTTGAGAGGACTAGTCAAGACCTATGCCATGTTTGATACGCCTTGTGTATTCGCGAGAAGTCTCGATGTCGTACGACGCGTAGCCAAAACTTGGATTGCGGCTCCATTGCCTGTCACCAAGAGGCCATATCGTCTCATCTGTCCACTCGATTATCTTCCAACCGAGAATTCAGAACAAAAGAAGATTATCGACTCCTTTACACGAGATGTTGAGACTCATCTTCCCGCTACTATCAACCAACTCTCTATCAGAAGCTCTTGGCAGCAGTCACATCCAATAGGAGCTCCTGGTGATGTGGAAGAATATCTCAAAGATGTCATCCGAGGAACCTTTTATCATCAATTTTACCACTCGACTTCAAGCTTCAGAGAGCTGTACGCTAAGAGACATGATGGCCAACAACCTTATGTGATCCCCTTTGTTAGACGAAGATGGACTCAAGGTGCCTGTGTTTCCGATGCCGAGCATGAAGAAGCTACGCGACGACTACTCGTTTACAAAAAGTGGCTTCATGATCTATTATTTGGAGACGAGGACTTTGAGACGCTTGTCATTCTTCCCGTCGCTGAAGTCAAACCTGTCTATCGTGATGAGAAGACAGCATCACCTGAGAATCAGTCTGCATATGACCAATTATTTTTACCACCAGTTCTTCAGAGCCCCGATGTCGTTTTACCAATTGGAGAGACGCTGTACCATTCAAAGATCAGCAAAAAAATTGAGTATCTGCCAGTGGTAGCCAATCTCGTCGCCGCACCAGGCCGAGACCATGAGCTTTTGGAGGCGGTTGAAACAATTCTTGAGAGATCTAAACGGCCTACGGTAGTTTCTACAGGGCCTAGGATATTCGTTCCATAACTTGATAACATCGAGCCGACATCTTGAATGTGCCCGATGTCATTCGGATGAACAAGTTGGGGACAGTGAAGAAAACAAATAAAGGCATGTAGGGAAGCACTCCATCGGGGAAAGATGACTGTCAGGCGCAGGAAATAAGAAACGCAGGAGTCGGCATAGCCTTGATCCTCGGAGAACTATTTTTAATCATTTGATGGACTAGGATCTCGACAGGGCTGATGGGCGCGTTTTCGACTGGATCATAAAGAGATTCGTAATATCATACGTGAAATGAAAGCGGTCAAGAGTTGATCAATAGAATTCTCTGTCACTGATACAGTTGCATCGGTAACTAATGGCCCCGAGACATTCCATTTCAGCTATGACGAAGGTCCGGGGAACTTGTAAGCCGCTGTAGCAGCCACATTTCAGACGAGACTCTTACTGCCAATAGCTTGAAGCTGATTAAGTCATCACAAAAGTATATCACTCTGTTTTCAATTAGAAGACTCATCTTCACCGAAGCTATGCGTATACTGCCTTCAAAAAGCAGAAGTTAATTGGGATATTTCAGTGCATTAGCTTGATATGTCTCGTGGAGACGCCGTAAGCTTTCAGTATCAATGAACAGCCTGGAAGTCGTTATAGTAGTGGCCACACGGAATACATTGACTAGACGAATCATAGGATCACCTTGTGTGACAGAATTTATCAGGCCAGCTGAAAGAAGACACCGTGCCCACCATGTGTAGATGCCGCGATCATATAAAAAGACGCAACGCAGTACTCTCGACCAACTATTATACAGTACCTTGTCTATGGGCTGCATTGTCTCAAACCTCAGACGTTCTAGTGACGGTTTACTGTCTAATACCTTCTTGGTTAAGAAGCTGGAAGTTGATAATGGAGAGCTGAAAGGCGGAATATGCAGCCATCTCTGCAACCGCCCCTAAACGATCGAGATCCTGCAGATCACCGGCTCTCTCGGTCGATGTGCATATAAAGAGACCATATGAAGAATTAGTTAGAGATTTCTATGTATATGAGCTCAGTTTGAGGTCCCTTTCGTGTGTCCAATAGGGTGCCCGTGTTACCTGGTTTACGCTCTCGCGCTTGGCCGCCCGCAAGAATCTTAGTAACACTGCGGATATAAAGTCGAGATATGCTGCCCAGAAATTGACAGCAGACGAACACACAGCCATCTCTTCCTCCAAAACTCCTCATAACACCACAATATTTTATTACCCTTGCAACCATTCCTTCAAAATGGTCAAGATTGACGACGCTTTTCTCAACAAGGCTGTCAAGAAGGGTCTTGACACAATCCGGAACGGCGAGCACCTGGACCTGGAAGACCCGAATGAAATTGGCAACTTCATTTTCGGGATTCTAGCTTCAGGTCTTGAGCTCATTCCGGGTTATGGTGACGCCCTAGCCGCGGTTCTCAATCTCTTCTCTCCCCTCATCTTCCAGCCCAAATCGGCCGCAGACATTTGGGAGAAGCTTTTAAAACGCATCGAACACATGATTGATTCCAAGATTGAGGAGTATCACTTGGAGACTCTCAAGGACAAACTGGCAGGCCTTGACGCCGCCATCAATGACTTCTCTGCCCTCGTCAAGGAGCATGATGAGGGTAGAGACGTGACAACTTTGCTTCTCGGTTACTTTACATCGCTTCATCAGACGATGATAGTTTCAATGAGCGAGTTTACGTCTCCTAAGTACGGTGTGGCGTCGCTGCCCTGGTTTGCCCTTGCAGCGACAATGCCTCTCAAACTATTGGGCGACGGCATCCAGCATGGTCGGAAATGGGGCTTCTCTGCTGACGAAGTCGACTTTCTCCAGGAGACTTTTGATAAGCTCACCACGGAAAACGCGACCATCTCACATGCAGAAATTGCTTCGCGTCACAAACTATTTCTCGAGAATCTCATGCTAGACGACACCAGGATGAGTGATGTGCCTACAGAGACACTCGAGAAATGGAGATCTGTGCACGAATACCTTGCTACGATGAACGAGCATGCCATTCCTGCCATCGATAACTCGAGCTATGTTACATACGCCAAGACGACCTACGATTCAGGACGTTACAATGTTAAAGCCGAATGGGAGGGCCTATCAGGCTATGACACTGGGGCTAAAGAAGGCGCCCTTTTCAGGGCTAAGATGCAGTACGACGCGGGTATGACTATTCACGTCCTCAACTACGCCGACTTATGGCCTTACCTGGCAGGAAAGGAGCTCACAGAGGAAGCTCTTACAAATCTAGACGGCGAGATCTTTGCGTCTCGTGGCCGCCATGACATTCGTGTAAACGGTAACCCGTGGGTAGACAAGCCCTTCCCCCTGTCAAACGGGGAGAAAATGAACAGATCACAGCTGTTTACGTAGGCGGGATTACCAATGTTGAGCTCCTGCAGATAAAGTATGGCGACAAGTGGGGAACGGCCTATGGATCTGACGCCATTGACAAAGCAAGCACCACAGACTTGGACATCAAGGCGGGAGAGTATCTCTATTGGCTTGATGTTTGGTTCGGCCAGAAGCTGGGTTGCGCCCAGTTTTGGCTGAATAATGGAAACATGCTAAGAGAGGTGGGAAGGAGTGGAAGTACAAAGGGGGAGTTATGGTTCGCGGATCACCAGGTCACTAGTGTTTACGGGATCAACTACGAGAGCCATCCCCCTTCGGGTTTGGAGGGTATCATTGTTGGATTCAGGCCGCTCTTTTTGAAGTGGGATTAAGGAGGATAGGGAAACTTTCTGAGCTCAAGTTCCATATCAAGACATTCTTTGAGAGCTTTGTCTGTAAAACGAAATTGCAATAACTTGGCTGCGGCCAAATGAAAGTGACAAGGTGGATACCATGAAGTGAGAGGGAATGTTTGTCGACTCTTTTATTCAACATATAATTGTTCTATACAGCTTCAGGGAGTGCTGCATGATGGGCACAAGGATAGAACTTCTGACAATGACAACATGAAGCTACTCTCAAGCTTGTATGTGTTTATTGGTGTTCTTTACCTTTGTGCGCTGGGGGCTAAAGCCTCTTTTAACTACCGACAACCTTATTCCTGCTACTCTCAAGGTTAGAAAACACGCGTCTGGTTGTGTACAATGCAGGGGTTCTGTTTGCAAGCTGGAGATACCCTGTCTAGCCAGTGCGGCTGAGGGTAGATCAACGCCTCACGAAACTATTGATTCGAGTATCGAATGATAATGCTCGACTGCCGAGCCCACGGGGTCATATCGCCCCTTCAATTTGTCTATAAGAATCAGTCGCATTCCCTTGTTGTCAGGTTCCCTTCAGACTTGCAATTTTAGTTGCTTGCATTATTCTGCAGTCCTCAACGGCATAAACATCGTTCAAGATGGTCAAATTAGCGCTTCTTAGCTGGCTAGCGGTAGCTGCCCCTGTATTCTCCGCACCCACTGATGCTGTTAGCGGCCTCGACGCACGAGCCTGCACTACCCCAGCCAACACCCTCAAAAACCCAAGCTTTGAGTCGAGCGCTTTCAGTGAGTTTGCCTCAAAACGACACGAGCTACCATCTCCAGCATAACTAACGCACTCAGCACCATGGGTCTTCAAACCCACTTACGTCAAACTCGGCAGCGCAACAGTTGTGAAATCTGGCTATAAGAGCGACCACGCAATCCAAGCCGTCGGAACGTCCGGCTACAACGAGCCAACCAGCTACAACAAACTCTCCCAGACCTTCAAGATCTGCAAAGCAGCGCGCTTCCAACTCTCATGGTCCATGCTCCTCCCCAAAAATAGTGTTGGGTACACAGCGCCTAGCAAGCCTGGTTTGTTTGTCCAAGCGAAATCCCCCGACGGTCTGTCGCATTCAATGGGCTCTTTCAGCTTTGATACCAAGACATTCAGCAGCAACATCTATACGCCTAGCTTCAAGGGTACGCATAAGGTTGACCAGTGGGCCAATTTTGTTGCGGATCTTCCGACCTCCCAGACTGGTACTTGGACGATTTCTATGGAGTGGTATGTTATGGGACCTGGCGTGAAGGAGACCAAGACTTCGACTCTGAAGTTCAAGATGGATAACTTTGTCGTGAAGCCTAAATAATGGCCCACAAATGGAATAGTCAGTGATGAGACGTGTTTGTAACCTAGCTTCCTCAATCCCGAATGTTCTACATTGCTTATCCCTTCATGCGGCGGGGTGAAACTTAAGCTATCCTTGCCAACTTGATCGTGACATGATCCGGACGTGGGGAACAGGAGACGACGTGTAGATGGACTGCTTTGGCTTCAGGCAAGCACTCGAAAAAGACTTTTAGTGCCCTATTTCCCGCGAAGAGAAAACATTGAAAGCGGTAAACCCTACAGTTGGCCCTTGTATATGGGAAAGCGAGCCATGGCGGAAGAGTCGAAGTTCTAGGAGAAGGTGAAATGGAAACGCATGTATTCTTTATATGGGACATAAAGTACTTCTGATATGCACAACAAGTTAACATCAAGATTTCCCTTGATGTTTGCCAGCAATGTTGACAGGTTTGCCACAATTCCTGAGCGCGTTTCCTGAATTCCAACTTACACAACGAGTATCTTGACGAAGCGCCACGAAAGGCATTTTTAAGCTCTGATGATCGGCCAGCTATGGAAATTACCGCTTTCGTCTGTTCCTGGCTAACTCTAGCCTATATTTGACAAAATGACGTATTTGATCTACATGAAGATCCCTCGCCACACGATACTTTTCAAGCAAAAGATGGGGAATGATATGCAAGTCAGATCAGGTATCTAATAGAGGACCGGATACCCTGTCCTTTACATTGGCGAGACGCACGTTACAAAAACCATGCGATGAAATACTTCGGAATGAGACCAAGTTCTCTGCGCTCTTTCGACCTTTAAGCCACAAGTCTCGGCTGCAAATATCGCATACAGCTCATGAGACCCCAAACTCCAGTATCAGAATCACCCACCATCTCGAGCCAAGCGAAGCCATTAAATTTAAACTCCTTCAGATCTTTCAGCATGTTGGATCTCAGCATGTTAGACCGGCTTGTCAAGAGACTCATCGGCGGCGACGAATTCTACGGTCTCCACGACCCTGAAGCCATTATTGCGAAGGGACGGGAACTCGACCGCAAGCGCAGCTACATGTACGGCAATTCCAACGAGAAAGAAGCCCGTAGGAGGGCGGCCGCAATAAGCGCAGGAATCGGAAATAATGATGGGGGCGGAGGTGTGGGTTGGAGCAGCTATGCTCGCTGAAATATGGAACCTGTCAATAAGTCAGAGCATGGTTGGAGGGACACCCAGTATTTTGATTTTTTGTATTTAAGGATTGCAAGTATATACTACATTAAGACAATTTCTGAAACTTCTAATCCTTCTAACAGCTCTCTTATACGAGATGCGTAGAATCTGGATGTATTTTGCATAGTCTCCATGTCCGGCCCTCGCAGCGTATCATCCCTTTTCAGACGACTAAGGAACTTGGTATAGTTGCTCATCAGTAAAGCATCATGGCTAATTCCAACATGGCCAACTCGCTCGTAGTGGTCACTTCCCAGCCTTTTGATAATATGGATGCCACAGAACGTAAAACTGTCTTCGACATTCACACCAAGCGGTATAACGAATCCTCCAATGGCAGGGGGCCATCTTACAGGCGCTGGCGGGCTATCGGGCTTATAGTCGTTAACACAAAGCTCTTCAAGGCGAATGTCTTCGAATGGCGTGACTGCGTGGCTAATGTTGCCATTCCATACGCTCATGGGTGTGACCTGGGTTGGCAGTAGGGACTTGGCATCTATAAGAGGGGCGTGTAGGGTGATTGAAGACATTGAGCAGTCTCCCATATGACTTGGACCGTCGGAAGTATAGCGCACATCCTTGACGACCACAGACTGAAGTGGACTCCAATTCCCGTCCCACATTACCTGTGAAGAGACTGAAGCCCATGACCACGAAGGATACCTAGCAAGTCTATGTTTCTTAACCTTCGGCGTAGGCCAGACCATCCAGAGAAGATCCAGCGGGAGGTATTGCTCCCAGATACCAGCTAGATATCTGTCGTCCGGCCTTGTGCGCTGCATCCGTTGAGCAACTCCAGCCAGTGCAATTGTCTTATCTGATTCGTAGGTCAGATTCAGTCTGGAGTACTCCTGGACCGTTCGATGCCATGTGAACTGGGCTTTATCGCTAAGAATGTCACTGACGGAACTGAACAGTGTAGGCTTGAAGCTTTTGCCGTCGTTGTAGTCCCTATCGTTGCATCCGCTTTCGCTGCGTTGTGAGGTTTGGCATACCCAGATGACTTCCTCGTTGCAGAAGTGCAATACACGCGGTGACAATCTCATCTCTTGATAAATCCATGCACGGTTCAGGGGTGGGTAACCATCGTTTTCGTCTAACTGCCCCCAGTGATTCGGAAAGAGTGGCGGTCGTTGACGGACATAAATGTCCTTGTAGCCAGGAACCAACTTGGCCACGTATTGATGGCTAGTCTCCGAAAAACAACCTTGGGACCCATCATGGGACTTTGTAGCTGCAATAGTCAGGAATGAATGCTGATAAATATCTGCCATCTGAGCTGCTTGTTCTTTCCAGTCTTCTGGGCTGTCTTGGACGATGCAAAGCGAGTCAATCCAGAGATAGGTAATTCCAAGACTGCGACATATGTCAACAGCATCGCGGAACGTTTTCGATAGTTGTTCTAAAGGCACCTCTGTCTTGAAACTGGCAATTGTTTGTGTCGTCGTCTTGACAATGCTGATCTTGCCCCAGCAATGGCTGAGACATGCGTATCGCAGCCCTTGACCCAGATCCTCTCGGAGAACCAGATTCCCATCACTGAGATCAAGCAGCCTCTTTGGGCAAGTGAAGGAGGCATACTGGCCGTGAATTTGAGATCTACATCCTTTGTGTGTATATACACAATCCTTTATCCAAGCCTGTATCGTGGTGGTTGTAATGTGAAATTCTGTAGTGCTGGGAAAATAACCTAGACGTAGCGGGGTGACACCCAGCTCAGCGCCTTCAACACCTGTAAGATAATCATTAGTGAATGGTCAATATAGCTCCAATCACAATGCCAACAGGATGCGGTATTTGGTAGAGGAACCTTTTCCTGGTCCCTCGTTATCGAGAAACTTAGATAATAGAGACTTACCATGCTGGTTAAAAACTTCCAATAAAAACTCGCCACCGGGCCAGTTAATCTTAACGTAAGCATGGGATAAAATGGCCACTTTTGTGATGTCCCAGACATTGATATGTGCTGCACCTTTGCTAATACACTTTAAAACGAAAGTGCAACGAGAACAACCGGCTTCCGCTGCGTCCACTAACGTATCGTATGTGCAGCCTTGATCATCATTAGTGGGGGATGCTGAGAGATTACAGACTATGCAGGCCATTTCTCTGTCACCAATAAGAGACCTGAGTACCTTGGGCCAAGAAAGACGCGACTATAGTGAGTCGGATGATGCAGCAAGTCGGCGCTGGAATTGGAGGATTATGCTAGAACAAAACGAGGGTTTCTTGAATTCTAGGACAAGTCTAAGTCACCTGAAGATTCATAAGCTCGCAACACAGTTGCGGGGTAAAGGGTCTCGAGCATCCTGGTGGCCAGCTTGGAAAGGGTTCCGTCAGGCCACGGAGATTGGCTCTCATGGGGAAGACTTAGATAATGGCGCAGTATGTTAGGCGCGATTCTTTATCGCGTTCCTGCTTTTGACCTGGAGCCGTCGACAAAGCTCATAACTGCTAGCTTCATGGCGGGATGTAATGTCGTTATGTTTGACTTGGTGACTTCCAATGTTTTGATCGCTCATTTCGGGCTGAGGCGACTCTTTATCTGTGGCTGAAAATACGGGAGAATAATTTGCCGCATATGCAGCCAGGTTTCTGCATCTTGCGCTTGCATGAATGTCGTTGGGCAGCAATACACCCAAGTACTGAACTAAACCACAACAATTAGAAAATAATATGATACGGTCTCTTTACCTGAATACCGCTATCTCTCAATCTCACACGTCAAGTGCCCAGACCCCGACAGATCCTAAGCCTCCGTCAGCAAATCAGCAGCGTGATAGACATGGCAGAGGGCTACTTGTGCAATGTATGTATCGCAGCCTTGAGAGGCGGCAACAAGATCAAAGATTCCAAGGATCATTTTAAATACGGTAGACGAATTTTCACAAACTACCACCATCAAGAATATCGCGACTTGGCCGTCAGTAAAGATCAGCATTGTTTCATCTGTACGTGGTTATGGAATAAGCTGCCAGCTCAGCCCGACAGAGACAGTTTATTAAACGATGGCTTCCGGATATACTGTAGTGCTTACAGACCCGATGTCGTTTTCCATGTCGTGTGCCCTTGGGCCGTCGACTTTGACCTGAAAGGTAGGATTGAACTTCCCAGGGAATGAAGATGACCTTCCTTACTCATGCCACTATTAGTGTCTGTGCTTAGTAGGAGAACACCCTCGTTACAGTCAATGTTAACATTACTTGATACTAAACCCTGGGCGTATCTTGATGAACACATTGGGTCGAGCCAGTCTCTACAGAAGCTCAAAGCCTGGCTCTCAACATGTCAAGAAAGTCATCGACATTGCCTTTCGTCTGGTTTTGGCCGTGGGATATATTTTCCCAGCAGAATCATCGATGTCAATGACGCCAATGAGGGGATAGTATATCTACGCGAGAGAGGCGAAGTGAAACCCTTCACTTTAGGAGACAAACGCATATCTGGAGGGTATCCTGCATACTGGACACTCTCACATCGATGGGGTAATCCTGACTTGATCCAGCAACTTTCAGAAACCACAGAGGATCAGTTTCGGTCTGGCATGGCGCTCAGCAGTTTGTCGCCCACATTTCGCGATGCTGCCCTGCTACTGTGTCGTATGGGCTTCAGATACCTATGGATTGACTCGCTATGCATCTTTCAAGACTCTCTGAGCGAGTGGCAGCAAGAGGCTAAGGCAATGATCCATATCTATCGCCATTCATTCTGCAATATTTCCGCTGTCGCAGCATCTCCAGACCCCAGTAGCACCGGCCTATTTTCGAAGAGAAGTCTTCCATCGAGGCAATTGTTTCCTTTCATAATAGGTGACCAGCATCTAGAAGATGGGACCAGCATCAATGTTGGGCCATGGTTATTGTACAACGATTCTTCTTGGAATGACGAGATCGAAAATACACCGTTAAACACGCGTGGGTGGGTTGTACAAGAGCGTTTTCTAGCTCCCCGTGTTCTTCATTTCACAAAAAATCAGATGTACTGGGAGTGTCTGGAGACCACTGTATGTGAAGCAGATTCAGACAGGAAGCTTAAGATTCTTGCCAAGGATGATCACTTCCGTTATTGGAGGACATACAACACTCAGCGCTGTACATCAGAGGCATGGTGGCCGTCCACAGCCGCTTGTGAACCTTGTAGAAGAGCGGATCATCACGGAACCCCCAGGAGGTGATCCTACAGGTCTTCTGCGTTCAGCCGAGCTGGATATTGAGTGTATGCTGTTTTACTATCGCTGGACGGGTCCCTCTACCACTCTCGCAGTATACGAAGACGATATTATAAGCGAATGCTATTTTGAGGAGGAGTTTAGCTTGCAAAGTCTACAGCTCGACACCACAGATCTAGTGCGAAAGTTCAAAGAATTGGGGCAAGTGGAAGGAGTTTGTGTACCGCTATGCGCGGGTTATTATGGGTATGGAGGGGGCAGAAACGTCTTCATGATGCTGGAGCTTGTCTCGGGGACTATTTTCAGGCGTATTGGGACTTTTGAGCACGGGGGAATAGGTAAATGGATTGGCGAGTGGTCTGGATCTCGATCATACATCACACTCGTATAGCCTATAGTCATGACCTTTCTCTTCAGCAAGGCACTGTTAAAATACCATCCGAAATTTGAACATTCCCGATCGTGAGGTTGCCTTACCAAGACTTAGTTCCACTCAGCGGAATTTTCGGCAAAGATCGAGATCATGAAGTGTCCACGTTTTTGATCTACGGTGACCTTACATTAGCGAGGGCCACGGAAAGCTTACAATACTCAATCACAGAGATGCATTCCATGCTCGTGCATTTTCTATACGAGAAATAAGTTCCTCTGGGGGCGGAGGATCGTAGTATAAATGTAGATCTTTGCTGCATGGTGGCCGAACACTATAAAGCGGCCGCTCATGCATAACCAAGAGGCGGCCGAACCATACACTGTAACCTTACTAACTACTAGTATGACGATCGTATGTATTCCCCCGGGCTTCATTATCATAAGCAAGTTGAATCCTCAATCTGACATCATGTACAGAACGTACTTGTTGTGCTTCTTTTGGAGATTGCTTGCTTTCACTATCGCGCACCTTCATGGTAAAGCTGCAAATTCGTTGGTCGTCCTGCTAGTGACTCTCACCCAGCCATCCTGTCGTCTATCCAAGACCAGATCGCCGATTGTCTTTGATTCAGTCCATCCACTGTGACTTGGATAAATGTTTAAGGATGGTCTACTCAAGTATAAAAGGCCATCCACCGGCCACTTCAACGGAATACTAGCAGCACAACTTCTCTAAAACCATTACAGAAGCATACCAAGCTATCGAAAACCTTAAAAAAGAAATCCAACTCTGTAAGCTCACATCATTGAATTAACCTTCCTTCTCCTTACTGATTCCCATCAGACCGCCAACATGAAGACAACCGCCATGCTCATGATCGCCGCCTTCGCCAGCAGCGCCTTCTCCCTCGAAGTCAAAGACGCTTCAACTCCTGGCGGTGGCACTCCTGGCTCTCCCGCCTGCAACCGTCAATGCCTCATCACCATTTCCCCAGGCGACGGTGCCTCCACGCAGAGGTCCGATGGCTTCCCTGGCTCTTGCAAGGAGTACGCTACTGGTCAGCTCAAGGGCACTAATCGTTCTGTTGACGGAGGGCGTCTCAACATCAATGGTGTCGGGGGAAATCTTGTCATCGACTTTGTCAAGAATGGGCGTGATCGCCGTGCTTCCTTCACTAATTGTAAGGAAGCTGTTTTTACGGGTGCGCAGTGTAGCCTTAAGCAGGGAGGGTGTGACAAGCAGGCTGAGTCTGGATAAATCATGCTTTGGGAATCATCTGTGAGATGGGATTCTACTGTTCTCAAGACACATTCATTAGGATATTTCAGACCTTCCGTTCGCTTGCCTGGCTCGTTGTCTGTATACAGCCATTACTTAGGAACAATTACAAACTTACATGAGGTTCACGAGCTCCTGGGTAGGAGTCCCCCATCATCTCGTTGCAATTATCAAGATCTCCCGTGAGTTCGTGGAGGTTTAAGAGTTATATGATCTTCATTATCGTACCCATGACCCACTAGGTGGTGCCCAGCTACTCCGTAGCTATCACACTTATCCACCTGATTCCAATGCTCTGAACTGACCAGTCGAGAAGTTCGTAGAGGAGCGAGGCATCATGCATGATAGGAACTTGATACCTTCGCGGTATGGACTTTGAGAAGGACATAAGTTCCATGATTGTCTCCGCTGACTAGCTGGACTGGGGTCGCAGTTTAGATGCCAGCTCATAATCTCTGGACGTATCTATCTCCTGGGAAAAGCTCACAGTAAATGGCATTGTCAAGTGTATTTCCAGCCTTACAAGGCTCATTCCGCTTCACTGAGGATATCAGTGCCCCGCCTATACAGAAGCTACCTCTGCCCGGAAGATCGGCGAACTGTGATAAAGTTGAGAGGTTGAAGGAGGCGAACTTCCAAACGATCATGATTCGTCAAATGCAACCAAAGCCCCTTTCCAGAACTAAGCGTATCAATATTGATTCTTAATTTTCAGCCTTTACTTAATCACCTTCTCTAATGGGCAACTATGTCTGTGCGACGTGTTTCACTGCCAGTAGATTAACCCAAAACGATGCGGCCGACTGTTGGTTGTTGTCCTGTTGGTTGTCCCCTGTCAAGCCTGCATATGCAACTAGACGAATCTGGAAGTGCACTGAGAGAAATGGCCGAATGAATCTGGAACCTACAATCCGAGCGTGAATTGCAAAAGGTAGAGACGACATGACAGCTGCTATTAAAATGCTTGTAATAGTAGATTCTGCTTTTCTTCAGTTCCTACATGTGTTGAAGATCTAGCGGTGGTGGGAGCAGAGTCAGATCATTAAGTTCTACCCTAGCATGTTAGAGTACGGCTCGGGCCTGAACTATTCCTATCTCGATCTTCGTCTGCATATCATTCAGGGAGGATGGTCCTGGTTTAATTAATGGCCCCTATCAGCTTGGCCTTGGCTTCGGCTCACGAATCAGTCAAAACAGATAAGCCTGTTCCCCACGACCAGTACTGGTCTTTCGCGACCTTCACTGGGTATTCTTTACCTTCCAGCGACCCATCATCCATCGTTCTTGACACTTGAAATTTTCCGTCGCCAATATGCTTACGATTTTAATCCCCACGCTAATACTCTCGATATTTGCCAATCGTGTTTTGTGTGACACCAAATTCCTTCGTCCACCAGAATGGAACTCCGATTTCGACGGTAAAGACGGCTTTGGAAAAAATATACAATACATGGTGGGAGATACGATTCAGCTCCTCTGGGAGCAGGGTTTGCTAAAAAACTAATTAGTTTTTTAGTACCTTGGATTTACTAGTACTAAATTAGTATTAGTATACTAATACTAATTTATAGTTAGTATTTTTACTAATTAGTATTTTTACTTTAGTTTTTTTACTAATTAGTATTTTTACTTAGTATTTATTATACTAAAAATAAATTAGTTTTAGTATACTAATACTAAAAGTAAATTAGTTTAGTATACTAAAACTAATTTATTTTTAGTTTAGTATTTAAATACTAATACTAAAAATAAATTAGTCTTAGTATACTAAGACTAAAAAAAATACTAATTAGTATTTACTTTAATACTTTAAATTTTAAATTTA